AAATGAAAATATTAAAGAATTATTAGATGGCCATAGTTATGATTAGTTGTTAAAATAATATGCAATTTAAACATTATATCTGTAGCTTTGGTTTTTATAATATCTTATGTAAGAGCTGAGTGAGGGAAAAGAAACAAAAATATGAAACGATTAATAAATTGTTACAGTTGTAACTTCAAAAACATATTAATTTATTAATTTGTTACAAAAAAAGAAGTTTCATCCTTAACCGGGAGTGCAATTTTATTATGGACATGTTTATAGTGTTTTAATTGAACGACTGAACTTTTAATGTAGTTTTATTTGAAAATAGCAATTTTAACCATTTTGAAGCAAATATGGAGAAAAAAACATAGTTTTGAAAACATATTCAAGTAGATAGCTTTTTTTTTTTAATAACTAAAAATCGGAGCTTCTGAAGTCGGGAGATACAATTACAATCAAACTGTGAACAGCTTGTGAAACTTAATGTCTGTATTGATGGCCTTGCAAAAGGTGGACGAGTATGTGTAATAAATTCCTATATTGATGTTTTTGCGCCCATATGGCTAGTGTCAGACGCTAGTCTTACGGTTGCAATTAGTTTATGTTCTTATTTCGATGCCAAAAAAAAAAACTAAAAACCAGTTACTCCATCAATTATTCCATTTTTCTTATATATAGCTGGTATTTTAGTTAAAAACATTTTTTTGACTAAAAGTTAGAACAAAATTTGATGCATGAATCTTGCAGTTTTAAGAGTTTAGCTTTAAGCAACCTTAAAGTCTTAAAGATCTTCTTCAGGAGACAAACCAAAAGTAGTTGACTTAGGAAGAGTTTTCAGACGACTAACAAAAAGTACTACAATGAGTTAACGTAGAGATTAGAGAAGATGGTAACATTTAATCTAATGACGTGAAATGTGAAACTGGACCAATAATGTTAGACAAGAACCACAAGGCCATATGGGATTGGTTAGAAACATGAGATTCCCCAAAAATTCAAATTCCATTCAAATATGATATGATTATTACCAAACCATTAAGTCTTTAATATTGAATACTGGAAAGTGGAAAAGGACTGAAGCGCTTAGGCTTTCATGATATATGGATCAAATTCTCTTAGGCTTTCACAAAGAGTGGCATTCATTATTCCCTTGCTCTCATACTGAATATTTAGGAATGGTCGGATCGGATCATAGACCAGTGGTAGCCTATATGGAAGATAAGGCGCCTAAGAGAAGAGGACAATTTCGGTTCTATAAACGATAGATTGGACAAATGGACTTGTGGAAGCAATAACCTTAAGCTGGACAGAATCTAATGAAGGTCAAGAAGTGGATTTTGTTACAAAAATTGGTAATTGTAAGCATGAAATTGCTAAATGGAGGAAAAATAATCCCCCCAATGGGAAGAAAAAAATTCAAAATCTTCAAAGGGCCCTCGAAAGAATACAGACTAATGATAATATATCAGAAGAAGATATACTAGAGATCTCCAGGAAACTACATGACGCATATAAGAATGAAGAGGATTACTGGCATCAGAAAAACCGTAACATGTGGTACACATCAGAGGGTCTTAACACTAACTTCTATCATGCACTATTGAAGCAACGATGTGTGCGTAACCGTATAATGAGGCTCCATGATGAAGATGACAATTGGATAATAGAGGAAAATGGGGTGGAGAAGGTAGCAGTGAATTATTTTGAGAACCTATTTACGACTACTTCTCCTTCGGACTTTGAGGATTTTCTGGATGAGGTTCCTTCATCTATCACTGCTCAGATGAATCAACGGTTGATACGAACAACAACAGAAGAGGAGATAAGGAAGGCTCTATTTATGATGCATTTAGAGAAGGCACCGGGATCCGACAGAATGACAGCTCTTTTTTTCCATTATTTCTGGTATATTATAAAAGAAGATTTGGTGAAACTGGTAAATGGGTTTTTGGAAACGGGAGTACTGGACGAGAGATTAAATGTTACACATAGTTGTATGATACCAAAGACGGAGAGACCCACATGGATGACGGAACTTCAGCCAATAAGTCTTTGTAATGTAGAATATAATATTATATCGAAGGTGGTATGTCAGAGACTGAAAAGTTGCTACCAAGACTTATTTCAGAAACTCAATCGGCTTTTGTGGTAGGGAGGCTAATATCGGATAATATCCTGATAGCGCAGGGGATGTTCCATGGTTTGAGAACTAACAAATATTTCCAAGAGAAGTTCATGGCAATTAAAACGGACATGAGTAAAGCATATGATACAGTGGAATGAGAGTTCATTCGGGCACAATTACATAAGATGGGCTTTGATCCTCACTGGATTACCCTTATGATGGAGTGCATCTCGTCAGTTTAGTATCGAGTTTTATTGAATGGGTAGCCACGAGGAAATCTTATCCCTCATAGAGGTCTAAGACAAGAGGACCCTTTGTCTCCATATTTATTTATTATGTGCACGGAGCCATTAATATCAAATATAAAAAAGGTGGAGCGACACAAACTTTTAACTGGGACGAAGGTGGCTAGAGCTTCTCCTCCGATCTTGCACTTGCTTTTCGCATATGACAGCCTCTTCTCTTATAGGGCACAAGGAGCTGTGTATAGGACCATTCTCCGGATCCTGAAGGAATACGAGGCAGTATCGGGCCAATTAATTAATATTCAAAAGTCATCGATCCAATTTGGACATAAGATTGCGGAGTCTAATCGCCATGAACTGAGGGATATTTAGGAATACAGAATTTAGGAGGAATGAGATCCTATTTGGGATTACCCGAAAACCTGAGAGGATCCAATATACAAGTGTTTGGATTTTTCAGGATCGATTAAATAAGAAGATTAATGGATGGACTTTCACGTTTGTGATTAATTTGGATATTCAAATGAGTTTTTTAGATTTTTTTGGGTTCTTGGTTTTTTGGAATACTCATTTGGCTTCGCTTCAAATACTTCGGGTTTGGATATATTTTGTATCAGCCTATAAGACTCATTTTGATATTTATTACAATTTAAACCGAATACATACCGAATTTTTTGGTTTGGCTTTGGTTCATATTTCAAATTACGGAATTTATGCCAATATCTACTTGAACTTTTTTTTTAAAAATGCAGAGTTTTCACCAAAAAATATCACATTGAAAACACCATGAATTGAGCAAAAAAAAACTTAATATAAAGTAAAAACGTAGTGATAAAACAAAGTAAAAACCCAGTGAGAGTAACTTAACCTTTTAAAACATTTTCAGTCGCTTTATGTCGGAAACTCGCTAGGCGCTACGCGTGCGGCACATACGTGCCTAGCGATTTATTGAAAAATCAGAAGAAGAAAAAATCGAAGAGTACGCAGAGAGGAATTTTTTGTACTTTTATACATATATTTCTATATTTATACATACAAATTAATATTTTAAGTTATATTTGATATATATTTAAATTTAAAAGTTACTAAACAAATTTATAAAACAATTTTAGTGATATGATTTTTTTTATTATCTATACTATTAAAAGAGAAGGAGTCCTAAAAAATCTACTTAAAATGTTGTTTGGACCTATTCATTAATCTACATAGACCAACTAAATAATCTTTCTAAATATCTTTTAATTGTGTTACTTCCTATATGTAAGATTCTTATTTAGAATATCATTAATATCCTTAGAAGGTTATCTATATAATCTACATAATATCTTTAGAATATCATTTAAAATAATATTAGCTTTATTTATTTTAGTTACCATATAATCCACTATTGATTCACGCAAATTATATACATCTACANTTTAGAATATCATTTAAAATAATATTAGCTTTATTTATTTTAGTTACCATATAATCCACTATTGATTCACGCAAATTATATACATCTACATAATATCTTTAGAATATCATTTAAATAATATTAGCTTTATTTATTTTAGTTACCATATAATCCACTATTGATTCACGCAAATTATAGTGTCCATGTTCTAATCTTACGTTACCCATTATATTGAGACATAATCGTATAATAATTTATGTACTAAGTACCAACTTCTATGAACATAAGATGTAAACTCTTTTATATATATAGACCAAAAGTTAAGAAATCCACATGTTCACTTCGTTGTGAAGTTTAGTTTAATATATGTATTCGTCATAGATTTTATTTTTCCATTATTAAATGATTGGTGAAATATATATATCTATACTATTAGAAAGAATTATTGTAAGAAATCTACAAATCTGTACTATTAATAAGAATCATAATAAAAAAAATTATTTAAGATAATTGAAAAACTATTAAAATATCTACAAATCTATATTATTAAGTTTCACCAACTTAACAAATGAAACTCCTATAAATTGCATACAAAATATAATAAAAATATTGCATACAGGTATTTGGATCGGATACGTAGCAATTTTTGGGCCGGATTCTTCGAGTCTAAAAAACCCCAAATGTTATCCAAAATATAATCTTAATATATACAACAAAATTTTTGTGTAGGATCTTGACCAAACCAAAACTCACGGGTTCAAAAAATTACCTGATATATACTTTATTTTAGATCCAAATCAACATGTATTTACATGTTAGTTTTTTAGATCCGGATAGAATACCTAGACTTAAGAGAGAGTTATATAAAAATGTATATACAAAATTTTAAATAAATTAATTTACAAATTACATAATTTTAAACAAATTCTCTGCTTCAAAATAATAAGATTTTGTAATATAATAATATACAAAATATCAAAATACTAACTTATATCAAATTTTACTTATAATTCAAACCCGCGCTTTCGAAGCGCGGGTCAATATCTAGTAGATATATTACATTAACATGTGAACAAAATGCTTAATTTATAGTTTAACTGGTTAAATGGGCCTCTATAATATTAAGCAATTGGGCCTGTAATAAAAAAAATTAACAAGTACTTACCCACGTTGTTTTCTTCTTTGTTGGATGATTTATAAAACCAGAGCCTTTTATATTTACCGGCTCAGGCGGACACAACGCGGACCACCGCCTAATCTTTCCGATCAGCCCTAACTCGCCGCGCTCTACCTCCTATCAACGTTTTATCGTCCGCGTAATCGGTTCATCTGATGAGAGACAGCGAACAAAAGACAAAATCGTGTCTCTTGATGGACTAATACTTCCCGGTTGCACACCAAGAAAAAAAAAACCTTCCGGTTAGTTATTTTCGATCCCATGTTCTCTTATTCGCATTATCTAATAACAAATCGTGTTTATGCTTCCTTCTATTTCTATAAATCGACCGAAAATTTACTGCCATTGTATTTCTATAAATCGACCAAAAATTTATCCAGAATTACAATTTCTTGCTGCATGCGCAGGAATCTTAGCTTTAGTTCTACATGATTGTCGAGAAAGCTCCAATCTTTTCGATAAATTAATAAAGATTCGATCTTTGATTATGTGTGTAGATATGAGTGGTACAGTGCGTGAAGTCGTCTTCGGTGACAAGTCAGAAAAAGAAGAAGAAAAAGTGTTGATTTCACTGGACATTGAAGACGACAAGTTGTTTCTCTTACATTTCATCATAGGAACTTACTTCGGACCAGATTTACATGATGATGATCCGAACAAGAAAAAACAATCAGCATTTCAGATTCAAGCGTCCTCGAATCTCCCAACAAAAAATGAGCTAAGTGCCTCACTAATGAAACGAGCTGAGCTAGAAAGTGTGTATCACCACGTTCTCCGCAACGTAGATCCATCGCTAGTCTTTAATCGCAAGGTCTTAAGCCGATATTTTAACGAAAAACGCAACGCTTCCAATGTGGATTTCCCTCTTTTCAGAGATCTGTATCCTTCACAACTGCATCCTGAATCTCGTGTTAGGAATCAGTATAAGCTCTATGAGAGCATTGTGTTCATCAACGATCCTGATACTTCTTGTATGAGACAGAACTGTCTTGACCGCTTTAAGCTGCTTACAGGATTGCAGGGCTTTACTTTAAGCCTTAACATTGAAGCCACTGAGGTTGATGATGATGAGACCTTGGAAACGTTGGAAGGAGGACGTAGTTGCCATGATGAACCCACGCTTGAAGTTAATGGGGCAATCGCTGCTGGTCAGATGATGGGACTAATGGATATCGGTGAATGTGCTGACGCTTATCTCTTCCGTGTATCGCTTCCTGGTGTGAAAAGAGATGAAAGTGAGTGGGCTTTCTACTATGTTTTTCACTCCAATAAACCTGTTTTTTATTTAAACTCGTGCATTAATTGATTTCAGGACATTTTAGCTGTGAAGTAGAAGACAATGGAAAAGTACTAGTTAGAGGAGTCACTACAACAGGAGAGAAGCAAGTTCATCGTTATTCTCAGGTGTTTATGATGAACACGCAGAACCTTTACCCACCCGGTCACTTTTCTGTCTCATTTCACCTCCCTGGTCCTGTCCTTCCGCAGGAGTTTATCGGCAGCTTCGGAATAGATGGGATATTCGAAGGGACTGTAATGAAGAAGCTGCAGAAACAAACTGTGTAATTCTGATACTTGTCGGTATCATCACATTTTGGTTTTGGATTTGGCTTATGGCTTAGTTATTATATATTGGTTGCTTTTGTAAGTTCAATTAAAATCCATAGAGCAGCAAACATAAAGAGATTTGCAAAGGGGAGTCTAAGCCTTGAAAATTCCCTGAAGAGAAGTAGGAAGATGCAGTAGTCCTAATTATCCAAGAAAATGGCTTAGTTATGTACTGGTTGCTTTTGTAAGTTCAATTAATCCATAGGGAAACAAACATAGAGAGTTGCAAAGGGGAGTCTAAACCTTCAAAATTCCTTGAAGAGAAGTAGGAAGTTGCAGAGAGATTCAAATAAGCCAGAAAGACAATCCGAGATAATATAACATTGCTGCACACAAGTGTTCTCTTCAGAAAGTAGATTAAGTGTTTTATATGGACAGTCCGTGACTTACCTGCGATAGTAGTTTGTTGAAGGAGAATACAAGTGACTTACCTGCGATAGTAGTTTTGACTTACCTGCGATGGTAGTTGAGAATACCAGTTTTCACTAAAAGTAGACACTGAGATATCTTATTATATAGAATTTAATCATCTTAGATTCAGTAGTTAATCTTTTTTTTTTTACAACGTAATGCTATTCTATTAATCAAAATTGAATTGATTTGGGTAACCAAATAGGCATAGAAGAATAAACGAAACAAAAACTTTTCGTAGTTTTAGCTAAAGAATCATAAATTTTATTTTGTGATATTTGGATAGATCTTGAAATCTGGAAAACATAGCTAGCGATTTGTTATCACCTGCCATTTTTTGGCGAAACTTGACTATGCATGAGTTTTTTGATAAGCCATGGATTTTACTCATTTTTAGCCATGGTATATAAATATTTTATTATCTAATTATTATGTTTTAGAGTCTATATAGTATATTTATAGGTTCAGAAGTGATTTGGAAGAAAGTGATGATTTTAGAGTTCTTTTGGAGACAAAAGGGAATTTCACCCGAGATGACCATCGAGCAGGCCGATAGGTCGACACATTAAGAGATCACAATCGATTGATGCACACTTTATGGCATTGATCGATGGGCGTAAAACACAGAGACACGATTTTGGTTCATACGGTTTAGAGCCCAAGTCTTCACCAAATTACAATTTTACCTCTGATGAGTTTTAACCTAAGTATATTAGCTTTGCCATTGTGCTACAAGCAAATAGAGTTTTTTATTATTCTGTTTTCAATACATAAATAGTTAGAGAGAGTTTTGAAGAGAAGATCTCAAGATTTATACAAGCTTGTGATTGGAACTCCATTGATTTATCTATGCAATATTCTTATCTCTTTATTGTTAGATTTGTTTTGCTATGTCTGAGTAATTCAATTGTTAGATTTATGGTTCAAATAGGTTATGAAGGATTAGACTAAATATAGAATTGTTAAGTTATGATATTCATCAATAAGATTAATCTTAATGCTTGTGTTCCAGAGTAGCTAACTAAAACCCTGATGATTGAATGATTATAATTGATCCAGATTGAATTAAGATTGCTAGAAACATGCGACAACTGATCAAGGAACTTAGTGAGCATTGTTTAACCTGCGCATAAATCTTTCATCTAAAATCCAATCGATCGACATTCATATCGAATCATCGACCGACGTTTGCAAACGGTATATCGATCGATACTCTTATAGAGTCATTGATCGACACTTTCTACTGACCAAAATTGTGACAACTGAGAAAGTATATCTAGTCATTAGACAGTTTAAAATGCGATACACTGATGGACTGTACCCTAGTTGAGCTCTATGATATTAGGAGTTTCAAGGCTCCTAAGACAAATGATGTAGTATAAAAGATTGTCGAACCAGTTCTGAGAGATTTAAAAGCACCGAGAATACAAGTACAAGCTTAATCTAAGTGCGATCATATGGTTGATTGGTTTTGAATTACAACTAATATTGAAATGAGGTAAAGAATGCAATGACAGAATAAACTTTAACAATTAAGAGACGGGAGAATCCATGGGTATAGGGAACAATGACCTTGGATGATCAGTTTTCGAACTAAGAGTGGCAAGCGATCAATTAATCTATCTACCTTAGGCCTAGACACAATTCTAAACAAACTCTATGTCTAGATGAATGTTCATTTGCAAACACAATTCAAACATCAAATTTCTTCGGTTGAATATCATGAAAGCAATCATTAGGAACAAGTCAATTAGCCATCTTAACACCTTTAACAACAAGTATCCTTGGTAAAGGATGTTAAAAGCTTAGAAGAGTTGACTCAGACATTTCATCGAACACTTTGTGAGTGGGAAATGTCTAAAGATCAACCCTTGAGTGGCCAACTCAAGAGAAGCATTAGGATCNCATCTTAACACCTTTAACAACAAGTATCCTTGGTAAAGGATGTTAAAAGCTTAGAAGAGTTGACTCAGACATTTCATCGAACACTTTGTGAGTGGGAAATGTCTAAAGATCAACCCTTGAGTGGCCAACTCAAGAGAAGCATTAGGATCACTCTACAAACAAGGAATAGGAGAAATCTAAACTAAACACTCTCATTCTAAACTAATCATCCTTAGTCTCCCTAACCCATGAATTCAAGGTTGATTTACTCACTACATATCATGACTACTCTTAAACCCATTTTAGATTCAAGTTTAATCATGTAGGTGATGAAATAGACAAGTAAAAACAATGAACAAAGAGATCAAAGATCTTAAAAGATGAACTTTCCAATAGGTTTTCAAGTATTTTCTTCAAGAACAAAGATAATCTCTAATGATGGCTTACAGAGTCCTTTAAACTTAGGTTTTTCCAACTCAGAATATTAAAAACGAAATTGCAAAAAGGTCCCTAAGATTTGAGTTTTTCGTCACATGGAATACGCGCAGCGGGGTCACCACACCGCTGCACGACCCCGCTCCGAAGCTCACAGCGGGGTCCTGACCCCGCTGCCAAGGCCCGCTGTGAGCTCTCTCTTTTCTTCTTCAAAGGCGAGCGACCCCCTTGCGTCCGCTGCCTAACCTCCGCTGTGGACGTGGAGCGACCCCCCGGACCCGCTGCACGACCCCGCTCCGGATGGTTCTCCTTGCAGCGACCTCTTGACTCCGCTGTGGTTGCTCCGGCTCGCCAAATGACACCTTTGCACCTTCTTTTGACATGTAATCGACCCCAAACACCTCCAGAGACTCCATAGCATGCTCCATGACCTGATAAAGACAAATGTATGCAATATGCAACCTAGAGGTGCCTAAATCTAAACTATATGCTCAATATAAGTAAGAATGCAAGGCTAAGACTAAGTAAATATGCAACATATCACTCTAACATATCCTCCAACTTAAACCACTATATCTTTATAATCCTCATTACCTGAATAGAAACCTTAAATCGAGCTACCTTCTGAATATTGTTACAACCTACTTCAAACCAACCGAACAAATACCTTGTTACAAACTGTCTTTTAATTTAAACACTTTCAACCTAGCTTAAACCCTGATTAGATCTATTGTGTACCCTAGCTCCTTGTGGATTTGAGCCATAAGTAGTACAATCGAAAATTTTATTTGAGAGAGTAAAAGTTCATTCCTTAGGGTAATTTAAGTTTAGGTTATTTTTATTTTGTTTTAATTTTACTTGTTTACTGAGAAAAATTTTCTTCTGTTTTTTTCAGGTGGATGCCCAGCAGTACCAGAAGCAATAAGGAGAAACCACTGCTATTCTCAGAAGACACTGCTAGTTTGGAACGTTCAATCGCAAAGATAAACGCTCCATATCAAGCGATAACAACACTTGTTCATCAACCGATTCTCGCATCCGCCTGCGAAAGCACTCTTCCGTCGACCGATACTCTTCACTCGACATCGATCGACACATCCATCTGGACATCGATCGATTCTCAATCGATAGATATGGTTGCGACACTGATTCTCGGACAGAACAAGAATGGAGATCTGCATGACCAGGAAGGTCATCTGCGTAATTCAGTGGGTCAAAGGATATATGGCCAGGGGACTCTGTAACCCCTGAACCAGAAACTGAGGTTGCAGGAGCTGCAGAACCTGCAAACGAAGCTGCTCGACCTAGAACGTTGGCTGATTAAAACCGTCCAGATCAGTACTACGTCAAGAGATCAGCTATACGCCCTCCAGAGAGGTGATTTCGAGTTAAAACCCTAGAACTACACACTCGTGGGACAGACACCCTACTGTTGGTTATCTAACGAGCATTCTATGGACCATCTGGAGAGGTTCGACGATCTTATATCTGCTATTAAGGCTAATGGAGTCCCTGTGGACTATCTACTTTTCAAGCTCTTCCAGTACTCACTTACTGTAGAAGCTTCGCAATGGCTTCAGCAGTTACCACCAGAATCTCTTACATCCTGGGTAGAGATAAAGAATGCATTCTTACATAATTTATTTGATGAGTCACGTGCTGAAGACTTGAGAAGCAAGATTGCTACATTTACACAAGAGCCTACCTACAGAGTCATTCAGAGCTCCTGAATCATATTCAAGTCATTTTAGAGAGACTATCCACACCATGGATTCAATGAAGTGCAATTGCTCAACACTTTTTACAGAGACATCGATTTTTAGTATTAGATGGCTCTAGACACAACTAGTGAAGAGAACTTCAACACTAGGAATCCAGAAGAGGTTGTGAAACATATGCATTTAATTGTGTTCATTTGTTCAAATTAACTTATAAGTGGACGTTTGATTATAAAATTGGCATGCATATATGTGTTTTATGCTAATGCAGCTTTATACAACTTAAAGAACTTGAATGTGGATACTTTAAGAGTGAGAAATGCGCAGCAGATTCAGATTTTGATTGAGAAACGTAACAATGTTATCGTTAAGAATGTTGAGATCACTGCTCCTCGAGATAGTCCCAACACAAATGGCATTTTTATTACTAAGATCATTTCCAATGAAGGTTTTTAGCTTTTTTAGTTAAAAGTTAAGAGACGGTTCTTATATTTCGCTAAAACTTTCGCCATAAAAAACCCCCCATTGGAGGTACTCTAATACCCAAAACATTAGACCATCTTTAACACTGATTTTTAGTGGGCTCTTAAGCCCAAATTTAAAAAAAAACTGATAAAAAAAAAAAATAGGTAAGAGGTGAGTTCTTGAAACCTTACCAAAAAGTTGCCTCTTGCGTCCTATCTTCGTCTTTCTCTCTTTGATTTCTGTTAAAGGTGTTAAGATGGCTAATAGACTTGTTCCTAATGATTGCTTTCATGATATTCAACCAAAGAAGTATGATGTTTGAATTGTGTTTGCAAATGAACATTCATCTAGACATAGAGCTTGTTTAGAATTGTGTCTAGGCCTAAGGTAGATACTTTAATTGATCACTTGCCACTCTTAGTTCGAAAACTGATCATCCAAGGTCAAATTCCCTGTACCCATGGATTCTCCCGTCTCTTAATTGTTAAAGTTTATTCAGGTATCGCATTCTGTACTGCATTTCAATATTAGTTGTAACTCAAAACCAATCAACCACATGATCGCACTTAGATTAATCTAGTACTAGCATTCTCGGTGCTTTTACATCTCTCAGAACTGGTTCGACAATCTTTTATACTACATCATTTGTCTTAGGAGCCTTGAAAACTCCTAACATCAATTTCTCTACTTCGTGATTGATCTCTCCTTGACGTATTCCGCTTCTCCTTCTTAATTTATCTTCTTCTCGACGACTCCATGACTCTGCCTCTTTTACTTGATCGTTGATTCCAATACCATCTATCTCTCTCATAAGATGGGTCTGTGATTAAGCAGAAGACAAGTGATTCATCTCTTGTTTTTGATCCAACTCATGACTCCTTTGGTGCTGGAACTAGAAGCGAGCTCTTTCTACACTGTGATTTAAGGCTTCTCTCCACCACGCGTGTCGGTCCAATGGGCAGTTCTCTACACAAACCGCACATTGAGAAATCAGAAAATTATCAGCCAGAGGGTCTGTTATAGCAGTATCCATGTTTATCTGGAGTTTCACTATAAATTTTGGCTGTTCACATAGTTGAGTTTGCTCCAGGTTGCAATAGTGTGTCTAAAATTTCCTATCATTTGCGCCACATAAAGATTCGGGTTCTCCTTCCAAATTTTGTTAACAAGTTTTGTTACTTCATCATTATCCCGAAGTCTCATGTATCTAAACAGACGTTGTGGTTTCTTCTTTTTTGAGTCGAAAGTTGACAGAACGGCTCGTAAAAATGAGGTGATTACATATATGTGTGACAAGGGGCGTGCTTACCTTTATAAAAAAGAGGCAATTGCTTGAGGCCCCATCTAAAAATATAAATTTTAGGGGGTTCTATTTTTACAAATGTTTGCAAAGTTTTTGTTATAATTTTTTTTTGGTAACTTAGATATTCATCGTATAATTTGTATTAATACTATACATGAGCTCCATTTTCCCTCTTTCTTATCATTTGCAGAGGTAAAACTTATTTTCTTTAATATTGTGTTAGTTTTATTTGTTTTACTTTCTATATTTTTGCTTCATATTTTTTACTCAATACTTTAAATATAATTTTAACTTTTCTAAAATGTTTTAAATCATTAATGCTAAATTGCTAATAGCTACAATAGGATTAATAATTAAAAAAATAGAATAGATTACTATGTATATTAAGAATGTATTATGAAATATATCATTATAAAACAAAAATTCATGATACATAATATTTTAATAAAACATTTTGAATTAATATTCTTAAACATCTAAAAGATTAAAAAAAAATTTATTTTTAATTGCATTTGTGATTTTATATTTTCGAAATTTTATATTAATTCCTTTTTTTCTTAATTTACCATAGACTCCTAAGAGCATCTGCATCAAGGATTTTTAAGAGGGGGTCACACAAATCCCAAAAACAATTAATATATTAATCTGATTTTTATGAATCCGCGTCGTGTGAGTTCACCGGGATGAATACATATCAACACTATTTACGGATCCTACTGATACATAGCAGTCCGTAATTGGTTGGTTGATTTTTTTTTTAAATATCAAACAAAAAATATTAATAAAAAGATTTCGGGAATCAGGAATAGGCAGGTTTACTGATGCAAATGCTCTAAAAACCACGGCACGGCACGGCACTGTGTGTGACTGTATCATTTTGTTGTTGTATTATTGATAACGGTTCCATCAATGTGTACTTCAATGTTTCATTATCATATTGAACTTACCACCTTTACAACAAAATCAACGGTGGCGTAGCCATCTACCACGTGCGCTAAGTTTTGGCGATGCTTTATGGCCGTTAAAATAGTAGCCTTTAAGTAAACTCTGATATTATTATCCTTGTCTTGCACTAGATTAGAGAAAAATATAAAAGAAGAAAGACGTTGGACGTATGTATATGAGCCAAGACTTATAACTATAACAAGTAATCGTCGTTGGATATTTGTGACGTGAGGGCAAAGATAGACCACTGATATATATTTTAGTCAGACGTAGACTTATAAACCCACTAGCCATTTTCTTCTCAGCTTACCCTTTCTTAAATTTTATTATAAGGAAGACCGTTGGCACATACAAGAGCCAAGAAGACTTCAGCGTAGACCCAACTACCCCAAAAAATCAACCGGCCATGGTGGTTGGAACGGAGAAACTGGAGTCGGCTGCGGATCAAGGTGGCGAGATACTGAAGCCACGTACGGACAAGAGAGAATATCGGAGGATTGTTCTCAAGAACTCTCTTGAGGTGTTGTTAATCAGCGATCCTGAGACTGATAAGGTAAGATTAACTTTTGTTCTTGTTTGACTACTTAAATAACAAAGCTGAACTGATTCATCGTCCTCTTAGTGTTCTGCTTCAATGAACGTTAGCGTGGGATCGTTCTCTGACCCGGAAGGATTGGATGGGCTAGCTCATTTCCTTGGTACGTCTCTTCATAGCAAGATTCAATCACTAAGCTGACTCGATTCTTTCTGTATAGACAGTAATATACTATACTCTTTCATGTAAATCGAAAGTCGAGTTTTAACGTTGAATATTTGTTAGTTAGAGGAAAATAATATATGATTTTATTTTGGGGGATATTGTCAAGAGCATATGCTGTTTTATGCAAGTGAAAAATATCCAGAGGAAGATAGTTACTCCAAATACATTACTGAGGTACTTAATATTGTCCTTCTCCAGCTCTTAAATACAATCTTGATCATAGTTTGATGTTCTTGCATTGGTATCTTGGGATATGCTTATAAGATTTTTTATTTTCTGTAGCATGGAGGGAGGACAAATGCTTCTACATCCCGTGAAAACACAAACTACCATTTTGATATCAACACAGACTCTTTTGATGAGGCATTGGACAGGTAAGACTTGCATTTGTTTTTTTGTTTTTCTGTTTTGAGTACCTACTCACAGTGTTGGATTCTTATGTTTCCTTATTATTTACTAACCAGGTTTGCACAGTTCTTTATCAAACCACTGATGTCGGCTGATGCCATCATGAGGGAGATCAACGCTGTGGACTCTGGTTAGCTTCTTGATTTTCTTGATAAGGATGTTACAACTTGTATTCTAATGAGTTCTGTGCAATGCAGAGTATCAGAAAAACTTGTTGTCTGATTCTCGGCGATTGGATCAGGTATCCATTTAGTTATTAATTAGCACCTGATATTACTGATTATCTATAGAAAGGAAAGTGCATAAGAATGAACAATGAGATTTTTCTTTGAGCTTGTAGTACTTATTTATCTAAAAGGCCCTGCATAAACCCACAAGTCTGTTGACGTATATATAGCATCTAAGTCGAGTGTCTTGTCTTCCTTTTATGTTCACACAGTTAAAGAAGCATCTAAGTAGAAAAGACTATCCATACCACAAATTTAGCACAGGTACATGTCCGACACATTCTTAATTGGTGTGTTAATTATTCTCCTAAGAAAATGATATGTTTTCTTAGGGAACATGGATACTCTTCATGTACGACCTGAGGCAAAAGGAATAGATACAAGGAGTGAACTTATTAAGTTCTATGACAAGCACTATTCCGCCAGTATCATGCATCTGGTTGTATATGGAAAGGGTAGGTGTTAAAGCTAACCCAAAACTCAAGTTTCATTAATTTCTAAAGAAGTATTAGCCAACTGTACATCTCTTTGCTCTGGATGTCTTCAGAAAGCCTTGATAAAACTCAAGATCTAGTGGAAGAGATGTTCCAGGAAATACGAAACACCAACAAGAGTATCCCTAAATTTCCTGGTCAGCCGTGTACTCCGGATCATTTGCAGGTATTTGTTCTGTCTTTCAGATTTAGCATTTAAATTCAGGTACCTTTATGTTTCTTACATGGTATCTTTGATGGTTCTAGGTTCTTGTGAAGGCTGTTCCTATAACGCAGGGTCACAAGCTTACTGTGTCGTGGCCTGTAATACCTAGCATTCATCATTATGAAGAAGCACCATGCATGTACCTTGGCCATCTAATTGGTCATGAAGGCGAAGGAAGTTTGTTTCATGCGTTAAAAACGTTAGGTAGGTTTTACCTTGGGGACCAAGTAATAAACGTTTTAGCAGAATGAAATCCTACCATTATTTTGGAGGATAAGCTATTGCTGTTAATAGCCAAGATAAATCTTAAAGATGGGTTGTCTCCTCTCTACCTAGTACTCTTGCTTAATATTTTCCTAATACTTTCAGGTTGGGCAACTAGACTGTATGCCGGTGAAGCAGACTTGACTATGTGGTATTCTTTCTTCAATGTCTCAGTTGATCTTACTGATGCTGGCCATGGTAGGTTCTTGTATTCTTCCTTGTTTTATTTACATAATTCTACAAAAGCTTGGAACAACTTTCTTATGTTGAATATATGGCACCGGAGTGCTTGATGTTTTAAGCCAACATCTGATATTATCTGGACTCGTTTTGATTTTGTGTCTTGCTTTGTTTACAGAGCATATGCAAGAGATTTTAGGTTTGCTGTTCAGACAAATTAAGCATTTACAAGAGTCTGGTGTTTCCCAGTGGATTTTTGATGAGGTATTTGGTATAATTAACCTTGATTCAGTGTCCTTAAAGAGCTTGATACATTTTTATATTCTGTTGTTGTTGAAGCTCTCTGCTATTTGTGAGGCGAAATTTCATTATCAAGCCAAAAGAGACCCCGTTTCTTATGCCAAAGCTATTTCTAGAAACATGAAGGTATAATAGTATCTTTTTAGTTATTCAACGACTTCTACTATCTTCTTATATAGCTAGTTCTGTTTGATATATGTGTGGCCATATAGTGAACAAAATTATTATACTTCCTTTTGAAACTGTGCTTCAGATATACCCAACCAAGCATTGGCTCGTTGGATCATCACTACCTTCAAGATTTAATCCAGATATTGTACACAAGGTTCTAAACGAGCTTACTCCAAGCAATGTTAGGTAAGTCTCTGTTGTTGGAATGCTTCTTCCACAAGCAAACAATGGCCTTAGGCATGAATGTGCATTGTAACTTCCACGTTAGCTTGTCATGTCGCAGAATCTAATGCCACTATATTTGTAGAATCTTTTGGCGATCAAAGAAATTTGAAGGACAGACTGATAAGATTGAGCCATGGTACAACACTGCTTATTCTTTTGAGAATATAAATGAATTCACCATTCAGGTTGGCTTTGATATATTAGCTGTGCTCAAATTATTACTATTAAGGAAGTAGTTATTTAGATATGTGCTTAAATTACAGGAATGGGTGAAGTCTGCCCCGGATGTAAAGCTGCATCAACAAGTACCCAATGTCTTTATTCCTACAGATTTTTCATTAAAGGATGTTAAAGATAAGGTTTAGTTCCATCACTCAAGTTACATTTTACAAAGTTCTTATAAAGTTATAATGTGTGAAGCAGTTTCATAGTATTTAACTAATTTCTGGAACAGAACATCTTTCCTGTTTTGTTGAGAAAGACATCATTCTCAAGATTGTGGTACAAACCTGATACAAAGTTCTTCATACCGAAGGCCTATGTAAAGATAGATTTCAACTGCCCCCTTGCAAACACTTCTCCTGATGCTGTAGTTCTTTCAAACACTTTTGTTTGGTTGCTGGTGGACTATTTGAATGAATATGGTAAGATTGATAGTTTAATTGTTGCAAACAAGAATTATGAGTATTCTAGTTTTGTTATACCATGAAAAGTGAAAACTAGATCTTATGTCACCTTTACTTCTTTGTCTCAGCTTATTATGCTCGGGCTGCTGGTCTTAACTATGGATTAAGTCTTTCAGGCAATGGTTTTGAGGTGTGTTTGTAAAATAGTTTTGACGTTTCCTTGTCCTTTTCTTCATGAGTTTCATGTTTGACTAGAGTCTCCCTCATTTCCAGCTCTATCTTGGTGGCTTTAATCACAAGTTGAGGATCTTGCTGGAAGCTTTTATGCAAAAGATAGCAAAATTCGAAGTTAAACATGACAGATTTTATGTTATCAAGGTAACCTTGTCCTTCTTTCTACAATAGCTTTTAAAAGTTTCCTCACAAAAGATTGCAAAATTCACTGAACCTAATTTTTTTCTACTTCCCTATTTTCTAACAGGAAACAATCACCAAGGCATACGAAAATATCAAATTCCAACAGCCATATGAGCAAGCAATGAGTTACTGCTCAATGGTTTTACAAGTTCGCACTTGGCCTTGGACAGAGAAACTAGATGCTCTCACTCATTTGGAGCCTGAAGACTTAGTGAACTTCGTTCCCATGTTGTTATCAAGGACATTTGTTGAGTGTTACATAGCAGGTACCAATCTTAATCTGTTGTAAATGATTCTTTTGTTTCTAACCCTTTTGTTTTTTACGTTCTTTTACACTTTTTCAGGAAATGTTGAGAAGAATGAAGCTGAGTCAATGGTCAAGCATATTGAAGATGTTTTATTTAACGACCCAAAACCTATTTCTCGTCCGATATTTCAATCCCAGTCCACGACAAATAGGGTTGTAACGCTGGGAACAGAAATGAAGTACTTTTATCATCAAGAAGGCTCAAACCCTAGTGATGAAAACTCTGCTTTAGTGCATTATATTCAGGTATAGTTAGCCTTGTAAACAAAATAGTATCATCAACAAGTTTTTGCATGTCTTTTATAAAGATTTTCTTGTGAATCTTGTTGCTTAAAAAACTCTTTGTTATGAATAGGTTCATCAAGATGAATTTGCCATGAATAGTAAACTTCAGCTTTTCCGTCTCATCGCAAAGCAAGCCACTTTTCACCAGCTTAGAACCGTGGAACAACTTGGTTACATCACTTCACTTTCTCAGAGGTGTGCATTGATTTCTCTGTGTGTTTGAATAATATCCTTGAGTTATTATGTTTTATGCTTAACCACATTTTTCTATAACACAGCAACCACACTGGTATCTATGGTGTACAGTTCATTATCCAGTCTTCAGTTAAGGTACCAACTTTTCTTGCTTCTTTGCCACTCAGACTTTATATAGCTAATGCATATGTGCTTACTTGCACTAGGGTCCTGGACATATTGATTCAAGGGTTGAGTCACTACTCAAGGATCTTGAGAGTAAACTTCACAAGATAGGCGATGAAGAATTTAAGGTGAGATGGTCTAACAAGATATTATATAGATCAAAATTAGCTTGGCTTAAATTTTGGTACAAAGAGGTGTCCCACAGGTTTACCATTAAGCCTCTATATATAAGATTTTAACTGACATGATTTTTTACTCAGAGCAATGTAACAGCTTTGATAGACATGAAGCTTGAGAAACACAAGAACTTGAACGAGGAATCTTTGTTTTACTGGCGAGAGATTAAAAACGGGACATTCAAGTTCAACCGCATAGAAGAAGAGGTACGAAATAGACATGAAGACAAACCACTCAAATGTTTTGAGCTTTTTTTCTAGGACTGTTGAAGCTATTAACACAGATTCTTGGGTGTTTGTTTTGGGGTTAGGTGGCTGCACTAAGAGAGCTAAAGAAGGAAGAACTGATAGATTTCTTTGACGAGTACATAAAGGTTGATGCACCAAAGAAGAAATCGCTGAGCATATGCGTTTATGGAAGCCAGCACTTGAAGGAAATGATGTCTGACAAAGACAAAGTTGCATCACCATTCATAGAAATTGAAGACATTGTCGGTTTCAGAAAGTCTCAACCACTTTATGGGTCGTTGAAAGGATGGAGCCAGATGAAACTCTAAGGAGGTCCCAAAACTCTTAGCAAAGATATGCATGAATAAAACACACTCATATACCAAAACAATGCTGTATAACGTTAAATCGTTATTCCTCCGATTGTAATCAAAACAGAGTCTTTATCATGTATGATTGAAAAACGGGGATGATTACAAGCTTTTGTCTAGCAAAAGCAAGAATGGTGGAATCAAGAGTCTTGTATCGTTTCATTTTGATACAAAACAACACATATATGATAATATACACATGTGCTATTACCATTATTATTTTTCTTTTTTTAACAACGCTATTACCATTATTTTGTTGAGTTTTATTACCATTTCTTCATGTCCGAAAGATTCGGACAGCTTATACAAAATCGGCAAATTATTGTTAACTCCCAGAAAAATAATCTAGAAACACAATAGAACAATGAAAATATAATAAACAAATTCTCATTAACATCCAATATTTTTTTGGAATACAGAGATTGTTACAATGAATCACAAACCTCATAAGAACAGTTTTAAAATAATAAACAACAACAAAAAAAAAAAATCAAAACATTGGCTCATCAAATCTCTTCTTCAACCAAAAAAGTTATAATAATTCTATATATTAGTTTATATTATTATTTTTTTTTTGTGATAAATCAATCAAACAACAGAGAATAACAAGAGATCCCTGGCATCTTCATACCCCTGACCTTGAGAAGACTTGAGACCGCAACCAGCAGCAGTGCCGGATCCTCCTCCTAACTCACCAACCAACCCGGTAGAATCTTGACCCGACCCACCAAAAACTCCTTCTCCGATTAAATCGGTAACACCGTGATGATGATGATGATGGCTGTCCGAAGGAGGATGGTAATAGAGACGCGCCGTCTGAGGACAGTGAGAATGAAACCTCGCCGCTATTCTCACGCCTGCATCCAACATCTCCGTGTATTTCCCCATTCTTGAATGATCTTTTTTATCTTTTATTTTTCTATTTTTTCTTGTTCTCTTTCTCGTGAAGAGAGAGAAGAGATGGAGACAAATGATGATGAAGATTTTGTGTCCGAGCCGCATCGAATTTATAGGTTGCAGGAAAAGCGAACGAAGTATCCGCTATTTTTATTCTGTTTTCATATATGCCCCTAAAGTCTGTTTTTGTTTCGTTTTTTTTTTGTTATCTTTACCATGCACATGAGACATGCATTTAACTACTTCCGGTTTAAATTAGTTGTCTTTAAAATTATTCACACAAACTGAAAAATAGTTAACTACTTACTTTATTTATATTTGACTATAATTTTTTATTATTTTATTCTTTAATTAAAAATGTAAAATAAATTAATAAAACTGTGATATATAATAAAATTTTACTCTAGATGTTTAATTTGACATGGAAAGAACATTCATCTTTCTCTTAAAAAGAATCATCATCTTAGATTATTATTTTTTAGATCTGTGATATATACAATAACATTTTAAAATACTAGATAAATACAAGATTATTAGGGTACTAAATATCAACTTCTTGGAAAAAAATTGGGACTGCAAATATATTTATAAAGTATAGGGTCGAAATTAGGGGAAACTGAAAATGATATTCTGAAATGCAAATGTAGAGTTTTTTGGTTTAAAGAACGGGTTCCGGTTCATCGCTTCTGGACAGCTTCCTTTTCCTTTATTTTTTTAATTTTGTTAGTTAGCAAATTTATTCCACGTTTTAATAGGAAATTAATAGTTGACAAAAAGCGTGTTTTTGACTATGGCAAAACCGCAATAAGTGGCTTGAAAAGTAAGCGTTTACTTAAAGAATATTTCTAGATGGATGGACTAATATCATCGACTTTTTGGACTTGCTTTTAAGACATTTGTTTGGAATTCAAATCAGTAACGTAGGGTTTTCGTTTGAAGTTAATATTATCAGAATCTAATCTAACACAAATAAAAGGGTTTATTCTAGAGTTTATAAGCTATACACGTAGGCAAAAAAAATTAGCCAATGAGAAAGTGTTATTTTACCACGTCAACACTGCTTGTGAGATAATTATCGAGACTGGTTATTTTTCTGGGCTTTAAAATTTTGCTAAAGTCCAGTTCATCGATCGATCTATCAAATCTGATTAAGAAAAGCTTGGTCTTCTCGACTGCATCTTCCTCTCCTCTCCATTACCTCTCCTCCTCTCTAATCAAGATTCAGCTTTAATCTATCCTCCTCTGTATTCAGCATTCACTGCTACTCTTGAAAAGGTATGCGTCTTTTAATTAATAACTAGATTTTGATCTGCCCTTGAAAACGTAGAAAATTTTTATGATTAATAATTTATACAATTAGGTTTTGTCTTAATTTAAAGAAAATTTTGATATAAAATCAGTTTATCAAAATTTAGTTTATCAAAATTTGTGGTGATGATTGTTTTTCATTAGTTTTTAGTTTCAGTTTTTATTTTTAGATTTTGGTTCTTAGTTTTTAAGTTTCTACTTTTCATTTTTAGTTTTTGGTTTGAGTTTTAATTTTTAAACCTGCTGAGTTAGTTGAACTAATATTACCAACAACCAAATCTCAAATAATCGAACATCTAATTTAAAACAGAAAAGATGACAACAAATTTTTTTAAAAAAATTTGAAATAGTTTATTTTGTAAATAAACAAAGCAAAAAAAATATAACATGTGTTTTCAGATTTTGGTTTTGGATTTTAGTTTTTAGATTTGGTTTTTGGTTTTTGGTTTTGCTTTACATTTTTTTAATCAGTAAATTATTTAAAAGTTACCATTGAAATTTATCAAAACAGGGTGATTGTTATTTAAAATAAAAAAATATATTAACATGTTTTAAAGTACATGATTTTAATAAATGATTAATAATAGATAATTTTGTTTTGTCAAAAATATTAAATATCTTTTGGGTCTGAAAATAATAATTGATTTTTTTATCTTTTAAGGTGAAAATTATTCAATGTTTTTCGAGTTTTTTCTTAATACTAAGCCCAAAAACCAAACTATATAATTTGTTCAAAAAATAAAAGTAAGCCCAAGACTATATTCTATAAATAACCAGTGGTTTAATTGAAGTATAATTAGTAGATTTTCATTTTCCATATTTTGATGATATATATTTTTTAGAACATTTCATATTTGTAGGAGAAAATATGTGTTTTCGGTATACACATAGATATCTGCCGTATTTTGAAGCTAGTTTACATTAAGGTCATCTTTTTACATTAATTGTGTTGGTTTAATTTAAGTAATACGGTTTAATTAATTATATGACTTATATTATTTGTAACATTCTAGAAAGGGTCCAAATTCAAATGACAACTTGTATCAATAGATAAAAAGAATGACTCTATTTTAATAGAGTAGATAACACATTGCAACGTTTCCAGTATCAACTAATAATTCTTACTGATGTCAACTGATTTTTTTATTTTTTTTTTGCTTTTTACGTGTGTCTATCACTCTATTGGATTGTCTAGGACTCTAGGGTCCCGGTCCCTTGTTTGAAATTCTACGTCAATCTAGCTTTTCTTTTTTTTAAAAAAAAAAACATAAAGATATATTTTACTTCATTATTATAACATTTAGACATATCTAAACGTTAAATTAGTTTACTCTCATCTAAAAAATATTCTCTCTCTGCTTTTGTAACTTTCATATTTTCACAACTTCTAATGTCCCATTTGTACGATTTGTTGACTTTAAGGTTTCGAATGGGTAACACAGATAACAAAATACAAATCAAATAGAAGTGTACATCAAACAAAAAAAAATGTATTTCATGCAGATCAAACAGAATAAATGTAGATAAATAGAACATATGCATATCAAATTATTTTAATAAATAATTGTATTGAAATAAATATTGATTTTTTAATGAAAATTAAATATCTAAACATAATACAAATGATTACAAATAAGTTATAAATTTTATATTGAAAAATATCAATAAATATCATCATGTTAATAAGTATAGTAAAATTTTAATTATCTAAAATTCTTCACAATTACAAAAATTATAAAGATTCTTTTTGTTTTGCTCTTATTTTTTGTATGTCTATTCGATTTTGATTTTCTTACCATTTGGTTCGACTACAGAACTAATATTTTCATTTTTAGATATGTTATTGTATCAAAAAAAATTGTCATTTAAATTTTCAAATTACAAAATGAGTAAATGTTTATGCAAGAACAAAAAAGTTGTGTTTGCTATTTCATTGATATTAGTGATTATAAATTTATATACAGCTAAATTATGAATTATCAAATATGAAAGTAAATGCATAAATTTATTAAACTAATTTATTACTTTTTGAATATGTAGTACATGATTTTAATTGATCATATATTTTAAAAGGATATAAAATGTTAAAATGTAACAATTTAAAAAAAAAATATTAGTTATTTAAGTTATATTACTTATTATCAAGAATAAAAATAAAACAAACTATAGTATATATATTTTTCTGCCAATGTAAATATTATTTCTTAATATTAGTATTGTTTAAATATTTTTTTTATAAATCATATGTTATAGGTTCTTAAAATATTTTTAAAAAAATAATTAATATTCTATTATATTTTGGATATTCAGATATCCCTTCAATTTTTGGTTCTGATTTATTTTTCAGATTTTAAGAAACGGTAGTTATTAGAGTTTGTGTAAATTTTGGTGTAGTTTTAGTTTCATTTTTAGGTTATGTTCCAACTTGATTTTTGGGTTTCAAATAATATGGTCAATATTAGATTGAGTGTTAAAAAGATTAAAATTATTTTAAGATAATATTTCAGAAAATACAAATTTTAGTTAAGTAAAAAATAAAAACAGATAAGTGTTTACAAATTAATAAAAAAAAATGAAGAACACATGATTGGTCTCCAGCATGTTGTCCAACACGTTTTCCTCTTTATTTGCATATCAATAGATTTCAACTTTGAATAGAGTGTACAAGAAAATGCAAGATTATGCAGTTCAGTGATTATGCAGATTCATCTGCATTTATTTATCATTCATCATTTTATCTGTAGAACAACTAAAAAGTATAAAATATTTAAAAATTGCATACAGATTAATGTTACACATAAAAAAGAAAAATCTCCAAAAAGCAAGAAAATGTGCTGGGTGGAATGCAGATGACCAATAAACGTCGCATGGTGAGGAGTGAACGCAGGTCTCGGGATTTGTTCTCGTCGGAGGAGGAAGACTCGGGTCCAGATAGAGACTCAGGGCCAGCGAGTATGAATTGGATCCGCTTTCTGTTCTTTGGTTGTTCCTCCTCGGGAGGCGGTTCGTCGCGATCGCGGCGCTCGGTTTTCTCCTCAAGTTTCGATGTTTCCTCCTTCGCTTTGCTGGGTGTGCTGGACGATTTCTGGCCTTTTTTATTTTTGTTCTTGCTCCAGCTGTTGTTCCCTTTCGAACGCGGTTTTGGAGGGTCGGTCGGGATTTCGCCACGGGAATATTTTCCGAACAGTATCTCCTTGAGCTGCTTGCAATCCTTTGAGTCATGCGCCCTGGATTTATGGTATGAGCAGTACGGTTCGCGCTCATCGGTTTCGGGTTTCGAGGATGTTGGTTCGCTCAGTTCACCGTCCTCCTTACGTTGATAGTGATTCCATCCTTTGGCGTGAACTACGACTGTGGAGTCGGAGATGGCGTCCTCATCTACCATGTAGACGAAGCTCTTCTTCTTTGGCTGTTTTTCGTCCGCCGAGTGTTGTCTCGGCTCTTGCTTTGGGTCGGAGGCTTTGCTCGGCGTTGGTTTATTCGCATGCTGCTTGCTTATCATCGCCTTGGTATCTTCTTCCATTCGGATGAAGTTGTTCGAGCGTGCGATAGCGTCCTGAAGCGATGTCGTTGGGTTGCGGTAGAGGTCTTCTCGGAACTTGGAGTGGATGTAAAGCGTATTTTTCAGGGCATCCACTGCGATGTTGTCGGGGACGTCTACCTTAGACACGACGTCCTTGAATTTCTCCATGAAGTCTCTTAGGGTCTGGCCGTGCTGCTGAGACAGCTTCCACAAGTCGGAGGCGGTGGCTCTCTGGTTAGTGAACATGATGTAGTGCTTCAGGAAGGCCGTCGAGAGATCACGAAAGGTGTCAATGGAGTTTTCCGGTAGGCGGGAGAACCAGTTCAGCGCGGCTCCTTCGAGGCTCTCGACGAATCGCTGGCAGAAGCCGGCGTCTCGCTCGGCGTCGTTGAAATTTGTCCGGCCCATGGCGATGTTAAATGCCGTCATGTGTTCCGATGGGTCGTCAGTGCCGCGAAAGGTAGGGAGGCGGATTTTCTCCGTGATTCGTAGTCTGACGTCAGTAATGCGGCAAGTGAAGGGTGTACGGAGGGCGGTTGCAAGGACCTTGTCTATCTGAGGAGCTGCACTCGTCACGTGATGGATCTGAGAATGAATCTCTTGAAGTGCGAGTTTCAACTCGGCGATTCGCGAACGGTTTGCAGATCTGGGTTGTCCGCCGGTTGGACGGTGTCAACCGGGGTGTCAATCGGCTGAATGGGTTGGTTTGCCGGAGTAGGAGTAGGGTTTGTGTTGAAAAGAAATCGTCGAGCCGTCGAGAGATTTCCGTCTGGGTTTGCGAGCGCGGCGGCGATGGCTGCGAGGTGCTCGTTAGTCGTCTTTTGAACCTCCTCTTGATGAGCAAGCCGGGCCAGGACGGAATCCATAAGGGTATCTGTGTTCGGAACCGGTGGAGTTTCTTCCGGTTGCACGTCGGGGGGAGCTTCTTCGTTCATCTTTATATCACACTACTTTGTTATGCCCCACGGTGGGTGCCAACTGTTTGAACCGAGTTCGGTCGTGTGTCAGTAAAATGAGTGACGGGACTCGTCGGTGGGTTATTACAAAGGTGTAGATCTAGACGAACTGAGTGAACAGGAGATTTTATTTATAAACGGAGAGAGTACAAAGAGAATCCTAGTGCTCGGGAGCTTTGCCGGGATTACGTTTGGGTTTGATTAAGACAACAGAATAAACCTAGCTATTTGCCCTAATCTATGCCGCCGTCTCTATGTCAAGTTTCGGATCCCTCGCTCGTGCTCTTTCCCTCTCCTTTTATAGCTCAGACTCTTCGGTCTTAACCTAGGTCGTTCTCGGCTCGTGGGCCTCCGGTATTGGGCCTGATGTCGGCTCGATAATGCCTTTTCCCTCTTGTACGGACGCCACTCGGATATAAATGAGTCTTTTTGTCTTATTAACTGTTCACCCTTGCCGGGCCGAATGTGATTTCCCGTGGGCCTTGAGGGGTGGGTACGGCCCACCTCCTACATTGCACGAACTCTCTGTCCACACTAAAAGGTCCATAACAAACCATCTGTGGCCACGTGTATGGCAGAAAGAGTGTCGGTTCCTTTTTGTCCAGCTTACTCGTTTTATGCTGACAATAACAAATACTTTTGTTTGTACGACTTAAGAAGTTACTATGAAACTGAAAGGAAATAATAAGAAACATTATTGTTTCTTTATACACTAACATAATACTGTTGAAAATCTCAAGTTTCTTGTAACCTTTCGGTTTCCGCATACTCCATAGTCGATATTTAATTAAAGCATACTATAGAATAAACAAACTTGCATGCGTATAATATAATATCTTATTAATTTAGTAGGAATGGGTGATAACATTATCGTAACCTAAGCATTACTTTTAAGAAAATAAAATTTAATCGGCAAATACATCATGAATCATTAAATGAATTTTATAATTTTATCACCCCACATCTCACCTCCAAAAAGGTTTGTCACCCCCACCTTCTCCTTTTATTTAATAGTTATCCTTTGTTCTCTTTTGTTGTTCATATCGTTTCACAACCTCAAGCTTTTATTGTGTGTGGGCATACAAAGAAACTGACTTCATCTATATCCTAAGCAATTATTGATGTGTAGTAAGTATATTATAATAATAATGTTGCTGAGACTAAATATAAAGTTATAAACTTTGTAAATCTGTATAAATGATAAAACATTTTCAGAGGATTTTTACAACATGAACACAAAGAAAACTTAATATATAATTCAACTAAACGGTTTAATTTTTATCAGAATTAAATTAATTGAGCAAAGCTTTGACCATTGTGGTACATAATTATATCACCAATGTACTAAAAAGATGATATAGTAGTAACCAGTGACTGTAATCAGTGGAGACATAAAGTTTCAGGCGAATCAAGTGATTAGATGATGAGCTTTCGTTTTCATGTCACCCTTAATGATAATTGGCGCGGCGATATTGACAGAATCCGATTCCAACGAAGAATATCGTGATGGCATTTCAATAATTGAAGAAGAAAGACGTTTTCCAAAAAGTTTTAGTGTTAAACAAAAGTAAAAGTGGTGGCCAAATTGATTTTAACCAGCTCAAAAGACCAAAATCACATGCTGCTTAATAAAATAATTAAATTTTGTAACTATGAACATGTGATATCATCATAACCTTAACTGTTTGATTAGGGCCTCCATTCCTAGACTGATTAATCGGCAGAGTCATAGGTTATCGTGGTATGTTCTAAAGTTCTGCTTTAAATTATTTCTTCTAAATCCTCACTATTATGCATTATCTCCGGTTTCTAATTAGGTAAATAAAAACACTGTAGAGCACTATCTAAAAACATAATCTCAGAAAAGCTTATAGATAAGTGCTAAGAATGGATTCTTTTTTTGTACCGGTTTTCAACCTTTTCTAAAAGATTATGACGAATGGAAAAATGTAAATGAATTCTTAGTAGTGAAGGAAGTTCGCATAATTCAAAGTATATACCAACTATATTTCTAAACCATATTTTGAGCGCCAACCCCTAATTCGAAGCTTCTAGACAACATTAAGCTATATAAGGTTACCCTTAATCCTTGTATATAAATACCCCTAACAAAGATAATTCTCATTAGAGATAGACACAGGAGAAAAGTATACAGTATATCGTCGACAAAAAAAAAAGATACGAATATATCCTTAGCATAAATAATGAAAATTGTGCATAATACTCTTATTTCTTGTATTTATATGATCATCTCAAGAAGACCAAATCAATAACGAATACAGAACGTGGACATAAATAAACATAAAATCTAAGAAGATAACAAATGTCAAATGTGTACAAAAAATCTATTAATTTAAAATACCGAAAAATCTCCTATTTTTTTCGTTTTGTGTTTACATTTTAAATTTCCAAAACAATAATAATAATACTAACAGTAACTATAAACAGAAGAATCCAACTCAGAAGAAGAACAAATACGTTTCATAATAACCGCCACAACGTTACTATTACTATTACCACGTTGTATTATATCACGACCCTTTATCGACAACGCAGCCGCAGCCATCGAGTTTCTCGTCCTCAACTCAGCTAACGAACTCGCTTCCGCAACCACCTCACTCGGACCAACCACTTCAAAGCCCTTCGTCATATGTACATTCCCAACGAGTTGACTCAGCACTCCCGATTCCGACACCGACCCCTTTCTCTTGTTGTGCTGCATCGTCGCTCTCACGATCTCAGTGTGCATCGCGCTCGATAGTCTCCTGATCCCTCTCCCTCCACCGATGATAACCGCCGGGTTAATCTTGTTACTGTGTTTAGAAGCTGAGGAGAAGAAGAGGACTGACTCGGGGCTCCGGTTACGTATCCGGGTTAACGGATCACCGAGGAATAATGACGTTTTTGCGTCAACGAGCATCACGTGTTTGAAATTGCGTCTGACTCGTCCGAGAAGCATTGGGTAACAAGCCCATCTCCTCAGGGCTATCGGCACGTGGTCCATGAACCCGGATAGCGAGTTTTCCGGGTCCAACTCGGCCACGTCAAACCCCACTACCGAACCGTGAGTCCACTCGTCTGAGTCAGTCTCGTTATTTGCTCGATGAGTTTTCTTTCCCCAGATAGGCTCAGACGTTTCTTTCTTCGATTGGTTCTTTATAAACCGGGAGAGATTAAATCCCCAAACCGAGTCGGTTACGGTTCCGGTTTGATTCAAATTCCGGTACAAATTAACGAGTTTCGAGAACGAGTTGTTCTCTTCTTCGATCAATCCATTGAATCTCTGAGAATTAAAGAGCAAAACGACGTCGGATCGGGAAGTGACTCCGGAGCGGTGTAACAACCGTAAGAAGAGGCGGAGATCTTGCTCCGTCGTATCGGAAGCGATGTGCGCGACGACGAGATCGTGCATGCTCTTTGTTCCTCTCAAAAACAGAGTACCCATCCCCTGGAGAGCGAAGCGGTCGGAGCGACGGCGAGGTCCGGCGACGTCGCGAGTGAGGAGGAAGCGACGGTGGGAGACGGCGGGGAAGACGGAGGAAGGTTCGAAGGTGGAGAGAGTGAAGAGGAAGAGGGTGAGGAGAAGGAGGAGGAGGCAGATTGAGATTGTGGATTGAGCTTTGGAGAGGAGGAGACGGGAGGATCTGGTGCGGAAGAGTGTCGTTGTAGTTGCCGGCGAAGAAGAAGGAGCAAGAGGAGAGACGTCGCTGTTGTGGTCAGGGAAGAAGACGAAGAGGAAACCCATTCCTCTTCCACTGGTCTTCGTCTCTTTCGTTGATGATATCAAACCCATTCTCTCTCTCTCTCTCTCTCTCTCGATCACTACGAGTTAGTGGTGTGAAGAAGAGCATTCGCTTTCTTTTTTGGCTTTCTTCTCGAATTCGCCTTTTAACTTAACTTTTTTTTTTAATTATTTTAATCTGTATAATTTATTTATTATTATTTTATATAATTTATTTATTATTATTTGTTGGCAAATGGCAATAAAGAAAACGATGGCCTGGGTCGGGTCCTCCCGGGTCAGATACTTGTTTGGAAACAAACAAAATTGTGGGTAGAATTATTGATTAATCTGATTTGGAAACCCTATTTTTAAAAATTTAATAATTTACTGAATGAATAATTATACAGTTATTAAATGTTTGTAGTTTGTAGCCTTTTATTAGCTATGATGATGAATGCGATCACATGTTTATTGCCAAAAAAAATAAAGAGTAACTCATATTCATGAATCATGAGGTAGACGTCCTTAGTTAATTGTATGGAGCCTGTATGGCTTATTTGAAACATTCAGAGTTAAAAAAAGAGAGAGTTAATTGTATGGAGCCTTTCAGGAGGATAGTGTGTGATTATGTGTGATCGTGTTAATAATAAACCAATTTTGATTAGCACGTTATTAAAGGATGCTCCTAATATTATTCAAAAAAAAGTTTGACCGTTCTCACTTCATGCAAAACATTTTAAAGTTTAGGCATGTGTAAATAATTATCTTAGCTGGTTTAACTATTACATTACCGTTTTGAAGGGGTTTTACACATAATTTGAAGTGATTTACTATCCAAAATATGTTAAACTAACTCTATTAATGAAAGCAGGTTTCTTCCAACAAAATTGGAAGATGCAACATTTTTTAGATTCATTCTAGATGATCCAAGAGACTAATTCCTCATTGGTGAAAACGACATTCTATAATTGATAATTCATGTTTTGGATAACAAATTACTGCAAATGTCCATGTAAAATTCCTCAAAGCAATGCAATGGTTAAACCCTATCAAGGTATTGTTCACACATGCCCAAACTTTAAATGGGGACATCCTTGAGTTAAATTCTAACTATAAAAAAACATCCTTGTGTTAAATGTGATAAATTTATGGAGTTGAATGTATTTTACAAACCAAAAAAAAAGGTTTGTAAACAAACCCAATTGTGTAGCTAACTATGCCAAATCAGTTCTAACTCAGTTACGGAGAGTTTTGGATTGTAATCCTCTTGTGCACAAAAAGAAGGATTGTAAATTTGTAATTAGGCCTAATTGTAATCCATTTTTCAAAATCCAAAAATAGCAAAATACAAGAAAATAAAAATAAATGCCTGATACATGACTGAAAAACAGTTAGTAGGGTGTTAGGCCCAGTTTATTAAATCTGCCCCCTTGATTACAGCTACAATCCGTGATCGGACGGTAGAAACATGAGGACGGGTGGCAATGAATACACAAATGGGGTTTTGGTCTGCTTCTATAGTTCTATTACTATTATCAACTGTATAAAAAACTCAAAAGATGGGCCCATAACCGGTGATTTTGACTTCTGTTTCCGACTCCGTGAGAACAAGTGTGTTTGTGTGTGTGAGTGTGTTGAAAGCTGACGGTGGTGAATCTAATTTCTTAATTGGAACCTTCTGACTATGCTACTGCTCACGTGGCTTCTCTTCTTCTGCAGATTTTGTGCTTTATGTTTCTGTTGATTTCTACAATTATTTATTTTAACTGTATTATTACCAATTTTTGTGTCGACTAGTCAATTACCATTAGCTACTAACTATAAAACTGATAAGGTATCAATTTCATAGAACAGAGCCAATTAATCTTTGATGGAACGGAGTATATTTAAAATAATTAAAAGCTTTCAACTACACTAGTCCACTGCTTTAATCTAACCAATTTTTTACTGCCCATTAAAATAATTTGGTAGATCACGACTTGAGTACTTACTGACAGCAAATAAAGCTTCTTGTACTTTTTGCCGCTTGTCAAACCTTCTGGGTGATTTGTTCCGTTCAATAAAAATCAGAAATTTCCATTAACTTTATTTATTGCATGGGTCTGATCAGGTCCACTGTTCCAGACTGTTTCTAACTTTCTACCATCAAGCTGTCAAGATTTGTCGGTGGCCTTGACACATTTGAGCTAAAGATCTAGTTTTATAAGCCCAAAACTAAAATAGAAAACACATAGTTTGGCCCATTATGTAACTTAAACATACATATATTGGGCCAGGCTTTTAAGTTTTGCCTGAGCCTATTTATAATCAAGCAACCTTGTTTAGGACCATTTACCCATGTTGTAGAAGTATTATTAGTAGTGAAGCAAAAACTGGATGCACATTTTGAATTGTTCTTCTCCTGATTCATTCTCAGCTTGTGTTCTGTTTCTAGAAATGTTAGAAACTTTAACAAGAGAAACTAATGTTTGAGTACCTAAAAACATAAACTCTACTTGATACGATGTACACCAAAAGACCAGAGCATGAAACAAAGGAGAATTCACAATAAAACCTCTACTAAACACCATAATTAGGATAATGGTTGATAACAATCAGTCAGAAGCTACTTGACTTCCAGAGTTATCGCAGGGCGGTTCGATCTTTGGCTTCTTTCTCATTGCACCATACCCCGACGAATACAACCTAAGAAAAGCCAAAACACACAAAGTTTGCTCAACAGAAGAGCAAAAAACTTGTAACACAAGGTAGGGCTTTTGTTTGTAGCTTACCCCAGCTGCAAGGAAGTCTCGGAATGGTGCTCCTCGTTGTCATTTTCGTCATCATCATCATCGTCTGATGAAGAGCTCTCTGCCTCTGCTTGCGGGCTAGAGAACTGAGGTATTTCACTCAACGGTTTTGGTCCTAATGCACCTCTCGCCAACATATCTATCTGTAGGTAAGTTAGCTTTGAACTCAGTAGAGATACGGTGAAGACCAGACTGAGCTAGTGTAAGGACCAAACTTTACCTGTTTGCGCAAAAGCTGGTTCTCTTCCAATGCTCTCTTCTCCTGGTGATTAAAAGCAAATGAAACACAGATCGTGAGATGAAACATTGAGTAAGAACTGATGATGACACATTTTTAAGGGGCCTAGTTCTTTTTACCTGTAAACGAGATTTTTCTACCTGGTTGAGAAGGATTTGTGTCTGAATTCAAAACAAAAACTTTGCAAGTCAGAAATGATTCACATATCAAGCTTTTGAATAAAAAATGTTCATTTTCTATCTTCACCTTTCGATCCTTGACGCTATGCAAGCTATCATTCAACTGGTTTTCAAGAGAAATTAGATCCGAGAAACTCATACCCTCAAGCTCCTTACCCTTGAGTCTCCTACCAAAAAATGAAAAGGCTGAAGCTTTAACGCAAGAACAAACACAAGTCTTTTCCAGGGAGAGAGAGAAAGAGACATACTCAATTGCAAGCTGTAATCTCCCAAGTTCACTCCTCAAAGATTCACCAGTCCGCAACTGCAACAACGGAGTCCATGTAAGTAAAGGGATAACAAAAGCTTATGGTAGAAAGGTTCACTGCTTATAGATATTAGCACACATACCACATCACCATTGTCTTGTGAAGAACAAAGTAGAAGTTGTTGCTCTTCTTTTTGTCTATGATCAGCCGTAGTAGCACTGTATCCATATCTCGAGAGAGTATTCTCCATACTTTAACACATTTGAAACAAAAAAAACCTCTCCTTAAATTAGTTATAACCAAAATCACCAAAAGCCTCTAAAGATCTCTTCTGCATTTCAACAAAAATCGAGTCTTTTTGTGGTCTACTAATCTCAAACACAAAACCAAATCACACATACACAATCTCGAGTCCTTACACACAAAACCCATAACAAGATTTCACCATCAACCCTAAAACTTAACCTAAACAGAACCTACTCTGTTCTCAAATCGCTTTCTTTAGAAAATGAAAGCCATAAAGTTAACATTTTTACAAATCTCAAAATGGACACAAACCCAAAAAGAATCATCTTTTTACCTGCCGCTAGAGAAATCGTAAACCTTGCCGGTGCCGGAGAAGACGATGACGGCGACCTCTGCGTCGCAGAGAATCGAAAGCTCGTTGGCCTTCTTCATCAAGCCGTTACGTCTCTTGGAGAAAGTGACTTGACGACTGTTCACATTCTCAATCTTCTTTATCTCAATCCTTCCTCTCCCCATCTTCAACAATCAAATCTTGTTTGCTTCTGCAAAATCGGAAACAGGGGAAAAAAAACAGAGAGAGAGATGGAAGTGGTAAGCCCTTTGTGTTTAGAGATTTTTGTTTGTATATATAAAGGAGTTTGATTTTTGATAATATGACAATTGGGAAAGGAGGAGGGGGATAAGGAAGGAAGGAAAAAGTATTACCAAAATTAGGGTATTGCATATAAAAAGATAAGAGTTTCTATAAGTAGCAGTTTTCCATTTTTGGTGGCTTTGCTAATTTGCTTCTTCCTTCTTTTGGAACTTCTTTCCCTCTCTCTTTTATAACGCCTTGTTTGGTTTGGCTTTTCTCTATTCTTTAATCCTGGTTGCTTTTCTTTTTTATTTATTCCTTTTTTTTGGTATCCTTTTTATTTATTCTTGTTATATATTACAGAGAGATACATACGTATATCTTGGGTTTTATTTTCTGGTTGCTTCAGTTCATGCTTTTATGACGGTGCTAAATATATCTTTTTCATTAAGGAAATGTAATTATATTTTCTAAACAATAGTTGACCGTGTTTCGCGGTATAGCTTAATAAAAACTAGAGTATATCGTAGAAAACAATATGTAATCATCTGTTTTAGTCACAGTCAACCAGAAATTCTATAGAACATACAAAATAACTTAGATTTTTGTTTTTTTCTATGCGACGAGGATATAATGATTCATATTTAACCCGCTATATAAATTGAAGATGATAAACGAAATAACTAGTATGAAAAAAAGAAATTAACTCGTTTGTTTTTGTAGAGAGATTATGAAACGTGATTCTATTCATGTTATGTTCAATGTATTTATACAAGAGGTTTTCCTAATAGATAAACATAGATCTTTATATAATTAGATCTTTACAAGATAATGACTATTATTGAAGATAATCCTTATCTATACTAACATGCCCCCTCAAGATGGACGCCGCTTGCAGAGTCCAATCTTGGAAACTAAGGTGTCAAACCGTGTACGCGCCAATGGTTTGGTTAAGGCATCTGCCAACTGATCCACAGAGCTTATATGAGTAACTCGAAGTGTCTTTGCTTGAACTTGTTCACGAACAAAGTGATAATCAAGAGCGAGATGCTTCAATCTTGAGTGAAAAACATGATTTGCAGAGAGATATGTAGCACCAATGTTATCACAATAAAGGACTGGAGTTTCAGTAGACTTAATTTCAAGTTCAAACATAACTAACTTTACCCACATTACTTCTGCAGCGGCTTCAGTGCGCGCACGATACTCAGCCTCTGTAGAAGAACGCGCCACTCCTCCTTGCTTCTTCGCCGACCACGATATAGGTTGCTTCCCAAGGTACACAATGTATGCACCAGTGGAGTTGTAGTCATCATGATCCCCGGCCCAGTCAGCATCAGAGTAAGCATGAAGATGAAATGGTGTCTTGGCGGAGAAGAATATACCTTTATCTGCAGTGCCAATGAGATACCTGAGCACACGTTTAGCTGCCTCCCAATGTATAGTTGTTGGCTTGTGCATAAACTGAGATAATCTGTTCACCGTAAATGCAATGTCTGGTCTTGTTAAACCCAAATATTGCAGACTGCCAACAATGGCGCGATACTCAGTAGCATCAGAGAGAGGATCACCGGACTCAAGGGTAAGAATAGTAGACGACGACATTGGTGTAGCAATAGGTTTTGCATCCGCCATTTTGCTCTGCGAAGAAGGTCTGTGATATATTTGGTTTGAGTGAGATGTAGTCCCTGTGGTGTTAGAGTAGCTTCCATGCCAAGAAAATAAGACAATTCACCGAGTTCTTTTAGAGAGAATTGAGTTGCAAGCTTCGTTGTAACAGCCTTGAGTTCTTGTGGCCTGGATCCTGTGATCACTATATCATCTACGTAGATGAGAATGTAGACAAAGGATGAACCTGTTTGAAGGATGAAGAGAGACGTGTCTGCCACCGAATTCTTAAAGCCAATGCTGAGAAGAAAATCTTTCAATGCTTTGTACCAAGCTCGAGGTGCTTGTTTCAAGCCATACACTGCCTTTTTGAGTTTCCAGACATGATGCGGGTTATCTTTGTCTACCATTCTTGGAGGCTGTTGCATATATACTTCCTCATCCAGTGGTCCTTGCAAAAATGCGTTGTTGACGTCCAACTGTTGAAGTGGCCATCCATGAGCCACTGCCGTTGCCAAAACTAACCTGATGGTGGCATGTTTGACGACAGGGCTGTAAGTATCATAGAAATCAATCCCTGGACGCTGATGATAGCCCTTGGCCACAAGACGAGACTTGTAGCATCGAACTGTGCCATCTGGGTTTCTTTTGATGCGATAAAGCCATCTTGCTCCTACAATATTCTTGGCTTGCGAGCGATCAACCAGATCAAAAGTGTCATTGCGTATAAATGCGTCAACTTCATCACTCATAGAGCGTCTCCACTTTTCATCTTTGAGAGCTTGAACATGATTCTCAGGTTCAACTTCATGTAGAATTGCAGTGAGGCCATATTTCGGGTTAGGCTTTGAGATGTTGTTCTTCGCTCTAGTAACCATGGAGTGCGTGTTCGGCTCTGGAGGTTGAGTGGACACCGCAGGAGAAGCTGATTGTGCTGGTGCTGCAGGAGAAGATGATTGTGATGGTGAGGCAGAGTGTTCTGTTTCAGACGTGGCAGACACATGTTGTTGTGATGTTGGTGATTCATGTGTTGCTGAAGACGACACAGAACCTGCAGGTGAAGGGTCAGTACACTGAGACGTATTAAAATAGAGTGACCGATTAAAAACAGGAACAAGAGAAGCAGAAGGAAAGCTTGAAGAGGTTGGAGTTTCTTGTGAAGGAAGAGAAGAGGGTTTTTGAAGAGAAGAGAATGGGAAAACCGATTCAACAAAGTCCACATGTCGTGAGACATAAACTCTTGAAGTGGAGACCTCAAGGCATAGGTATGCACTATGGGTGAGAGAGTACCCAACAAAGACACACAGAGTTGATCTTGGACTGAACTTGTTGTGCCCATACGGCCGTATCCATGGGTAACATAGACATCCAAAGCTTCGAAGTTTGTTGTAATTTGGTTGATTGCCGAATAGAGCTTGATATGGTGACTGATTAGAGAGATTTGGGGTTGTGAGCCGGTTGATAAGGTACACCGCCGTTGCAAAAGAGTACGTCCAGTATGAGGTAGGGATGTTGGCGTGAGTGAGAAGCGATAGACCTGTTTCCACTATATGACGATGCTTCCTCTCAGCCATACCGTTGTGTTCTGGTGTGTGTGGAGGTGATGTGTAGTGTGAGATTCCATGCTAGGAGAGGAACTCCTTTAACGCAACAAATTCTCCACCATTATCCGAGTATAGAGTTGTGATCTTTGTGTTGAATCGGTTTTCCACTAGAGCTTTGAACACTGGAAATATTTGAGCAACCTGAGATTTTGTTTTCAGGGGATAGAGCCATGTATATTTAGTAAATGATCGACAAATATGACATAGTATTTGTAACCATCTACTGATATAGTTGGTGAAGTCCAAACATCAGAGAAAAGAATATCAAGTGGAGATTTGGACTGTAAAGATGAAGTAGAAAATGGCAGTTTATGACATTTATTAGTAAAACATGAGTTGCAGAACAAATTCAAAGAAGACAAAGATGAGGTAGTAGGTAAAGAGAAACGAGAAAGCATAAATCGTAAAGTAGCAGAGTTTGGATGGCCTAGTCTAGAGTGCCAATCCGTTGAGGAAGCTTTGATGCAAGAAAAACCAGAAATTTTGTGTGGAAGTGTGTTTGGTAAGGAGGAAATCGGCCACTCATACACTCCCTCATTGGCCTTGCCGTTGAGTAGTGTTGTCCCCGTGTGAAGATCCTTCACCTGAAAATCATAAGGACAAAGTTGAATCATCACGTTATTGGTTTTACAAAGCTTGTTGGCAGATATAAGGTTCTTCTTTATCTTAGGTACACATAAGACATTGGTGAGGAGAAGATTTCGAGATTGAGAGGGCAAAGATATAGAACCAGTATGAGTTATTGGGAGGTTTGAACCATTCCCAACCGTAACGGTTTCTCCACCTGTGTATGGTGTGTGCAGTGATAGATTGTTGATGTCACTCGCAATATGATGGGAAGCGCCGCTGTCAAGTAGCCATTGGTTGAAATCCGGGTGAGGAGATGATGTAGTTGTGTGATGAGCCTGCCACGGAGTTGGTAGAGGCAAGTGTGGAGCAGCCCATTGATTGTTGGGACGAGGTTGACCATACGACGTTGGTCCGTATGGTTGTCAAGTAGTGTGAGGCTGATATTGAGGACATCTCTTGGCTCCATGACCTTGAACTCCACATATTTGACATTTACCCAAGTAAGGGCATTGTGGTTTGAACCCACCACGACTTGGATAACTTCCTCGAGGAGCAGAGTAATTGTGTTGAGGTCGAGTTTGCGTGACGTTGGCTGTTGCAGGGACTACAGAGTCTTTGGGAGAAACTTCTTTCAGTGCATTCTGTCGATTAATGAGCTTCTCATGTAGCTCATCGATGGAGATAGGTGTGTCTCTACCATTAACCATCTCAATGATCGCTCTGTAATCTTCTCCAAGACCATCAGTTATTATGTCCAGTAAGTCTTCATGATCGTATGGGGCACCAAGAAGAGCTAACTGATCTGATTTGTCTATGATTGACCGCATATACTCATTGATAGTCTTGGTTCCCTTGGAGATGTTTTTGAGTTGTTGTTTGATTTGTTTGATGTGTCCTCTTGTTGGTTTTCCATACGTCTTGTGCAGTGTTTCCCAGACTTCACGTGATGATGTAGATCTCGCCACAATAGGTTGTACTGCCACAGATAGAGAGCCAAGTAGAGCACTGAAGAGAAGTTTATCTTGACGTTTCCACGCCACAGACTTAGGATTGGGTGCGTTTGGATCTTCTGCTGTTGTAATAGTTGCAGGTGGTGTTTGATCTTCTTCAGATATAAAACAATGAAGCTCGTGAGCTTCAAGCAAAGCGCTAACTTGTAGCCGCCATGTGATGAAATTAGTTGAGGTGAGTTTTGTTATGTTGGACATGTTGAGAGAGATGAGGGATTCCTTTGGATCTTCGAGATTGAAGATCGTTGCAGTCTGAGATGTAGTAGAGGAGGAAGACTCAGTTGACATACTTTTGGTTTGTGGTAAGAGACGAAGAGAGAGAAAAGAATTAGGGTTTTGATGTAGTAGAGAAGAAGAAGAAAAATTAGGGTTTTAACTTAGAGAAGAAGAAAGCTTAGATTTTGGATCAGAGATGCTCTGATACCATGTAGAGAGATTATGAAACGTGATTCTATTCATGTTATGTTCAATGTATTTATACAAGAGGTTTTCCTAATAGATAAACATAGATCTTTATATAATTAGATCTTTACAAGATAATGACTATTATTGAAGATAATCATTATCTATACTAACAGTTTTCTTGTTCTTTTTATTTTAAGTTTTTGAGATCTATAGAAGCAGAATACAATAAGACTAACAAAAAGCAAAAGCTGGGGCTATAAATATAGTGAGATCTTTGAATAAATTGACTCTGTTATGTCTATAGCAAAAAAAAAAGCCCTTTTAAAAAAAACTTTCTATTTTAACCGAAAATATATATAGAGAACGTACATTGTCTTTTGGAATTATCCCAAACAACATGAAAATACTAAAATGCAAATAATAATTTCTGGTTGGCATTTTTGTCAATAAATAAGTTTAATGGAAATATATTTTTACAAAATTTAGAAATATTTAAACTTGGAATTTTTTTAAGTAAAACACATATTAATACAGCTCAATACTGTTGTTTTACAAATGTAAATGAAAGTTTAAAGAAATGTTTTTATAGATGAACTTTTGATCCATTTACTTCCTTCCATATCCAACTTTGACATTTTAATTTTGCTAGAACCATTTAAACAGTTTAGTATGTGCCCAAAAACAATTAGAAAAAGTCAATTTGTATGTCAGAGTGGTAAAGTTTGATATTCTTCTAAAGTAATATAACATTTCTAATATGTTGAGGTGGTAGTAACCTTTGATTTTTAGAATTACTTTCAGCATAAAACCCAAATAATTTTTTTTTCTTGAAAAAATCATTTTTTTTTTTTTTAGATTTTGTGTATATTCGGTTTTTAGGGTTTTTAATATCTAAAAATAAAAACCGCTATAGTCAAATTAGATTTTATATATATTTGGTGTAAAGGGTTAAACATATTCTTCAACCAAAAACATATAAAAACTAGTAATAAAAATACCGTTCATAAGAAATTCAACTCAACGATACTTTCAGATTTCATAAGATTTGACCTTTCATACACCAGTAAAATCTGACCAAAATATTTATTTTTGACAAACCAGTGGATCCCAAAACGTAATAAGGTGACCCGTATAGTAATGCGCGTTGGCAACAAAAACTTAAAACACTTCGTTATCTGTAGTGGTTGCCCTAAGGAAGCTTCCTCTCGTATACATTTAAGCTTTATTATAGAAACGCATTAACGTAATTAGTATTTCTTTTGAAAATTATAACCACCAATTCACAAACCCAATTCGAAAATAACATGACTTCTTAAGTTTTTTTTTTCCTGTTTTCTTCTACAAAAGGGAAAAAATAAATTAGTTGTAGAAATTTTCATTTAGTTTCGTAAGTTCCTAAAAAGGAATTGCCAAAGAAGTTTCTAAATATGAATGAAATAAAAAAACACAAAGCCACTTTGGGATATTGCTAACTCTCGTTTTGTTGTTAACCATATCTTAGTTAAAATTTCAAAATACTAATTAAATATTTTGATTTTGCACCAAACGATATATGTTTTGATTAGTATAAGATGATGTTGTACAATATATTTAATGAAACAAAAAGCCTTTATTATGTTCATATAATTCGACTGTTACAATTTAAATAAAAAGTACAATTAAATAAAAGTATTCATACCACTTCAAAATGATGACATTACATAATTGATGGCACACACACACACACCAGTTTTCATGCTTTTTTCCCATGTGTATAACCAAAACAAAATTTGATTCTTTTCCTTTAAATTCATCAAACTCTTTTGGTAACCTGCCAAAAATAAGAGAACCAACCACTTGTCATAATTACAAGAATTTCCTTTACTTTCTTTTCTGATCGGACTAGCTTAAATCAAAATATATTTCTAGAAAATAAGAAAACGCGGAGATAATCACAAAAAGGTACACAATATACTTAAAATAGAATATTCTTCAGATATGAAAATCTTTTGTAAACAGAAACAAAAGAAAAAAATATTGATGTATATCTAAACACTACTTGAACGGTAAATCTTGTTGATTTAATTTGTAGGCACGGTAAAAAGAAAAAGAAAGTGAAAGGAGCAATCATGAGATTTGGGTATAAGAAGTTAAGAACAACATTTAGGCCTTTAAGGCCCAGTACACACTGTGTCACGTGAGACGATGAGAGTTGATTCAGGTAAAGGTCACTTGTTTTGGTTACGTAGCCATGAAACGGCACGAAGTTGACGCTCAAATAAAACATGGAGAAGATTATGAACCGTCCTATAAACGGGTCCCCCACAACATAGCTACGTTTGAGATTTGTTACATTTATTGGTGAACCATCACACACTTGAATTCCCCCCTTAACCAAAACCGTTTATTCTGTTAACTCTCCCTCCATTTCTCTCCATTGACAGCTAGTTTTCAAGATGTGGGGCTTCGATGACTGTTGCAGTCGCTGTAAAAGTAATGACGGCATCGTTTTCGATCACGTGGCGAAGAAGATAAGTTGCTCCGATTGTGGTCTTGATCTTGGACCTTTTGGTCTTTCCATCGCCACCACTGATCACTCTGAGCTTCCTCCTAAGGATACTTCTTCCGATGATTTCTTGACCTCTGATCCTGGAACCTCGCACAACCCTAGCTCCCACCCTGTCTCCGTAGCCGCCACCACCACCGAGCCAAACAACAACGCTTCTTCTGATGATGACCTTGGCTTCGATCCCCTTGCCGTGGTCACCACGCAATCGAGTAATGCTTCGTCCGATGAAGACTATCGACTCATCCATTTGTTTTACAGGTTGAATCTTCTTGCGACAGTTAAAGTAAGTTTTTTTCTTCTTAGGTTTGTCTGTAACCCTTGGTGTGTGTTCTTGATAGTTACTAATCATAAATCTTGAACTAGTGTGTGTTTCTTGATGGTTTGTATACAGAAAGCTTGAACTAGTGTGTGCGTTCTTGATAGTTTGTATACAGAGAGCTTGAACTGGTGTGTTTCTTGATAGTTAGTATAGATAGAAGCTTGAATTGGTGTGTGTGTTTCTTGATCTGTAGAATCAGGCTACTGAGATCTCTGAACAAATAAAGGGACAAATAACGAAACAAAACGTTCGTTTTGCTGCTTCTATCTACATAGCCTGTAGACAAAATGGCATGGCGTTGAGTATCAGAGGTACTCTGTTGATACTTTGAAAGATTCTTTTTCCTGTGTTCTTGATGTTGAATCCTTTTCAAAACTCTTTTTCTCTCCTTCTATATAGAGATATCTACAGTTGCCAATGGAGCAGAAGAGTCCAAGTTTACCAGTGCAGTCAAATCCGTAGCTGACAAACTTGGCCTCACGCCTCAGTTGATGCACATCCGAGCTGTTGAGTTTGCAGTGAGTTTCTGTGCATCTTTCTCCTAGTGGTTAAATTAGCTTCTTCTCATTTTAACTGATTATTATATTTTAATCTGCAGAAGCGATATTCTACCGACCTTGAAATGGATAGCCAAGCCGTTAAAGCTGCTGAAGCGCGGAGAAGTGTACTAAACATGTTAACAGGTACGTACCGAAGTAGTAGATGTTTAGAAGATGTACAAAAACTTAAGAAGCCCTTATTTCTACGTATTGCAGCAGCAGGCCTCCGTCATCTGTTGCAGCTGCAGTCGTCTATATCATTGCTCGACTTTCTTATGAGAAGAAGCTGCTCAAAGGTTGTTTGCACTTTAATTTCCCTAAGCAAAAATCTGGTCACCTCTTCTCTTTACCTAACTTTGATGTCAACACTTGATGAGTTGCAGATATAACAGAAGCCACTGAACTTCACGAAAATACGATAAAGGAAACATACAAGGACTTGTACCCACATCTGTCAAAGATTATACCCAAGGGGTTTGCCAACGCTTGGGACCTGAAAAAGCTTCACAGTCCCTAGTTCTTTTATCTACGAGGATACAAGCTTATATCTCACACAAGGAAGGTTGTCTTTTTCACGAAGCCCTTTATAAGATTCTTACTAAAAGCCTTGTAGATAAAAAATTGAAAGTTGTAGCAGTAGCAAATGAATACAAGACTACTCTTAAGTGTGTGTAAACTCTCAGTTACTTTGTCTACTGAATATACAACATCCCGTTTCATGTTACATTTTATGGTAAGACAAGGAGGTTTATGGAACTGAATGAAAAGAAACTAACACGGCCCTGAGCTATATGACAGAACCTCAACGGTGCAACTATGCGGCTTTGCAGGACTCTAACATCTTCTTTGCTTGGTGGAGAGTCCCTGTAAAAAGAGGATTGATGTTAATGAAAAACATGCTTTCATAGTTGGAGCTAAACTAAAACGCTTACCCTGATAAGCAAGCAACAAAGCTAGGTTCACCAGGAGAAGACTTCTTGAACCGGCTGTTTGGCAAATACACGTCAAACACCGCTCTTGCATCACATATCTGCATATCTCCCAAGAGTTTAGTGACACTATCCTCGCCTTCACCGGCACAAACTGACTCTGTCATAATGGCAGCACCCTTCGACGTCCAAGGAACTCCATGCCTGCCTAAGATGTAACCAAGACCCTTCAAGTACCTATAAACCTCATATTCTTCCCAACAGCAACCGTTCTTTTCCTCTGCAATCATCTCATACAAGCCCTTCAATGGGATCACCACATCATCATCTTCATTACCCAAGATCTGCAACTCTCCTATTTCACTCAAATACCTGCCCAAGGAAGAGACTTTATCAGATGACTTAAGTTTTTTTAAAAAAAAGACAAAACTTTGCTTGACTTGACAACATACAAAGCCTCTTCTATGAAACAGTATGTCTTTCCACTACGTATGATTCCAGTTGTTGTCCAAAGCTTCCCTCTTTTAACCTCAACTTCAGCCATTCCTAGTTCTCTAACCCAGCGAGCCTTTGAAGAACCAACTCTACAAAGAAAAGACAAAGAGAATGATTAGGTTAACAGAACAAAAAAGATAGCTAGATTCAGAAACTAGTTGCTGAAGTTAGATCAACCTGAATTGTAACTTGGGTCCTGAATGAAATTCTTCGTCGTCATCGACTGCAAAACCAGCTTCGTTTTCGCTTGAAGAGGACGCTTCCCAGTTTTCTTCCTCCATAAGCGTTTTCGTTTTAGAAAATCGTTTGGGCAATTCGTCGAACAGTTGGTGTGAAGAGAAAAAGGCTTCAAAGCTCGCAGGTCTTGCTGTCTCGTCGGTTCGAGTTTTGTAGTTAACCGAATCGAGAAATATTGAATAATAAAGATCCAAACTGAACCGGACCGAATGGAACAAATAAAATAATGAAGACTCAAACTGAACCGGATTCATCCGAAGCTAACAATACAAAATCCTGGTTGTCTCATGGCAAGAGTTCTACGTGCTAGATACTTTCCAGATGGTGATATTTTAAATGCAATACTTAAGAGGAAAGCTTCATAGGCTTGGAAATCGATTCTTCATGAAAAAGATCTCGTCAAGAAAGGAATGGGTTATATAGTGGGTAACGGTACTTCTATCTCTATGTGGACAAATCCTTGGCTCCAGGATCATCCTCCTCAACCTCCAAGGACTCTCTTAGTAGATGTGGTTGATTGTAAGGTGAAGGAATTCTTTTCAGAAGATGGGAATGACTGGGATGTAAATAAATTGAGACAAGTGACTATCGAGGAAGATGTGCAGAAGATTCTAAAGATTAAGGAGTTGATTGGTAGAGCATTAGCATAAGCATTATGCTCTCTATTATCTAATCAATATTTGGCAAATAAGCATTTAGTATTATCCAATCAATATTTGGCAAAGAAGCATTTAGAAAAGCATTTACCAAATGCAAATGCTCTCCAAATGCTCTTTGCTCAATGCTATCATATAGAGCTTTTGGAAAAGCATTTGCATATAGAAAATATAAAACTTAATATATAATTAATTTATTTTTTGGTTTAAGAATATAAACAATATTTTTATAATTAAATATAAATTTATATTTAAAAAAATAAAAATAAAATTATAATTATTTTTTTTAAAATAACAATATTTCACATTTAAAATATAATATAGTTTATATAATTAAATATATCATTAATTATTTTCAATAAAAAAATAACATAATATAATTTATATATTATCGATATAAAAATATTATTTAGACACTAATAAATAAATTATATATTAAATTTTATGATAATTTTATATATGAGTAATTTAGTGCTCTACTAATAAATAAATAATAATAATTTATATATAAATTCTAATTAATTTATATATAAAATATAATTAATTAATTTATTAATTAAATAATAATTCTAATTTAATAATAATTAATTAAATTATAACTATAATTTTATATATGAGTAATATGTTTATATCCAAAATAATTTAATATTTTTTAAAATAAATTTTGAATTTTAAATATAATTTATATAATGAAAATTCATTATTTTAATAAAATTATATATTATTAATATTATATGACAATTTTAAAATCGTATACTGCTAATGCTCTGCCAATCACTTTATTAAAAACTTTAATGAAAGCATACAACTTCTGTAGCATACAGCTTCTGTAGCATACTGCTACTGCTTTATCACCTGCTGTACCAATCGAAGCCTAAGATCACTTCTAAAGCACAACAAAATTTACTTGGCTGGCATTATAATGAGGATGGTATATATACTGTCAAGTCCGGGTACTGGTTGAGTACTCATTTGCCGACTAATGATCATGTAGTTCCAATCCCGGGAAGTACTATACTTAAACAGCGTATTTGGAAAACAAGTATCCCTCCGAAGCATAAGCATTTTATTTGGAGAATGACTTCAAAGATTTTACCTACAGGAAGTAATTTGGTCAGAAGACATATATCTCAAGATGGAGTTTGTAAGAGATGTTGGGTTGCTACTGAAACAGAGGAACATCTGTTCTTTGAATGTGAAAATTCTCAAGCCATATGGAGAGCTTCAGGAATATCAAATACTATCATTAACAATCAGGTGACTACCTTTGAAGAGAAGTTAGAAGAATGTATACGGTGTTCTACATCATCACGATTACAACATTTACATGATCTGCCAATTTGGATACTATGGGGAATTTGGAAAAGCAGAAATATGCTTCTTTTTCAAAATAGGGTCATTCATTGGAGAACTACATTGAAACAAGCTTACACTGACGCTAAAGAATGGTGGAGTAATAATACAAATACAGATGATATGCATCAATCATCTCGAAGTCAACAACAATATAGACGTCAAAGGATATAGAAAAGGCCACCTGCAACTTGGATTAAATATAATGTGGATGGGTCTTATGTTAATGAAGCTACTCCAGGGAATGCTGGATGGATAATCCGTGATGAGTTTGGCCACTTTAAAGGAGCAGTTCAAGCTACAGGGAAACAAGTTAATAATGCGTTGGAAAGTGAAATGCAAGCAATCCTAATGTCAATCCAGCATGCATGGAGCAAGGGATATCAGAAAGTCATCACTGAAAATGATTGTCAAAAAGCAGTGGAGATTTTGAATAATAAAAAACTACACTTTCACTGCTATAATTGGAAACGTGAAATACAGTGGTGGGCAAACAAGATACATGAAATCAAGATAGCATGGAGTGATAGTTCTTCAAACAAGGTTGCTGATAAATTGGCGAAACTGCAATTTCAAAACTCAAGCTCCTTTGTATTTCATTATTATGTCCCTAACTTCATAACTTGATATGCTGCACTTTGGTTATGTAAACTCAGTTTAAATCAATAAAGTTAAGTGTTAAAAAAAAAGACCCAAACTGAACCGGATTCATCCGAATCGAACAATACAAATAATAAAGACCCAAACCGAACCGAATTAAACTGATCGAGTGTTTTTTTTTTCTTTCCAAAAACTCGAGAAATTGATTCAGAACTCGACTCTACACTAAAGACTATCATATCTTGAGTGTACTGGAAGTTGATCGAAACTCCGGGAAGGTGAAGCTAAACGGAGTTCTTACAAATATAGGTAAGACTGGTTTTAGGCTTTGCGGTGTTGACGACGTTTGTAGTGTTGTGCGTAAGGTTTCTTGCAGAGAAAGCCACTGCTGGTACTGGTAGTATCACCGAGTGGTCTTCTAGAAATGCACTGACACTGCTTGACTACTTTGCTATTGCTGTAACAATCGTAGTCGTTGTTGTTAACCTTTGAATGTGACAATAAACGTGGCATTTTCTATGAAGCAGTTGACGATGGACATGGCACTTGTGTTGTGAGGCAGCTGTTGCTTGTGAGACAATGGGTTCTTCTACCTGCATTTGCATGGATTAATTAAGACAGGGACCTTAACCACTAACCACATGATAGTCGACAAAGTTTGGATATGTGAGAATGTTAAGGAGAGGTAGGAGGAAAACTTGTTGGACCACTGAGTAAGAGGAGATTCATGCTTAACGTTAATAGTTAAATAATATTTTATAGATATACTAGAACTTGATCCGCACTCCCGTGCGGGTGTTTTATTTAACTTATGCTCAATATAAATTCATATACCGCTGGCTCTATAAAAAATTATATATAATTTTATGTTTTGTAATTTACATATAGAATAGAACATATTATTTTATAATATAAATGTTTAATAATAATTTTTTATTTGTACATAAAATTATATTAGAAATTTTATAACTTGAAGCAATTTGATATAATTATACTATTCATATATTAACATGTTATTTTTTGTTAATTTATTTTAAAATGATTTAACATACTAAAATTATTTTTTTTGCATTAGTTTTCTATGAATTATCATTAGTTTTTATGATTTGTTTTTCTTGAAAATTGAACTCTTGAAATTTTATATTTGACAAAATTAAATAAGGTAATACTATATTTAAAAATTATTCTGTATAATATATACTATATATTCAGTTTGTGTTTTTATTTTCACCCAAAAGAAAGAAAAATGATTGTAATTAATTAATTTATATGTTTTAAATGTAATGGCAGAATCTATAAATAAAAAATATACAAAAGGAAGGTATTTAATTTATTGTAAATGGAATGGCTAAATATGCAAATAAAAAGAAATACTTAATATGCTATCCATGTTTCCTAAATATTCTCATTAATCCTACTATCCTTATTTTCAAACAGAACTAAAAGGTACTTCAGTTAATAATACAGATGTACCATTAGTAGATCAATGTACGTCAAAGAGTAAAAAAAACTTTAATATTAAAATCTGTACACATGGGCTTAAAAACAAGGAACCATTTACTAAAAAACCTGCCTGAAGTTAATATCTATTAATAACCATCTTCAGGTTAATTAGCATCTGGCTTAGGGCTACTTATATTGCCTTCTCCATTTGCTGCGGTAGAGAAGACAGGTTCAAGACTCTCGTTTATGCTCTTTGTTTGTCTCTTTATCCTTTTTGTTCTCTGAGGATGAAGAGGAGCATCTCCTTCTTCATTCACTTCTTCCTTTGCTCTCTGAGGAACTCTAGCTCTCGAAGTTGAAGCAGTAGCTTTCCTATGCAAATCACCGCATAGAGCACATGCCTTTTAGTAATATACTCAAGCCAGAGGTCATCATTTTTCATTTGCCACTAGGTCTTGTAGGGGGCATAGATCATGAATTTAACGAAATGGATCAAGACTTGACACATATTACCAAGACCGAGTTTGTAGCATATTTACCTTTTTGTTACTGGGGTTCTGTCTTTTCTGGTTCCTGGCAAGGTTCCTGTCCGTTATCCTGTCGCACAGCATCTATTCTGATACATTTCACTGGCTGTTTTTTCTTCTGCCTGTCCTTTACCTGGAAACACACAAAAATGAAGTTACGAGTGGTAGAACTTAGAATTCATTTCCAGTTACATTGGCAGACGCTTGTTCACTAGCATGAAGTTTTTGTTATTAAAGTGAAGCAACAAAGGAATCACGACAGTTTTCTTTGGATATGAAAAAGAGAAACACTTACATATAGACGATGAGCTCTGTAAATCCAAGATGGGATTCCAATCACTTTCATAGAAAATACAAAAATATCGCTCCTGCAACCATGCAGGGGTTTACACAGAAAGCCTGAGATACTTGTATATATGCTGAAAGAAAGTTAATAAAAGGGCATATAAACCCATGCAAAAAGCATGTATGATAATAAAATAAAACTGGCAGCAGAATGTGTAATCAGATCTACTTAGCAAGCCTGTGAGCGTACTATAGAGTCCATGGAGAATAAAAAAATGTACATCCACCTTTATCCTCACCTGTGAACAGAAAATGAGAGCTTACTCTAAGATGAAAAGCAAGAGAGCAGTTTATAAAAAAAAAAAAAAAGGGTAGGTAAAACCATAATAGGAGAGCCAATTTTAATTACCTCTCTTTGGCAACCATTTGCAAATAAGCTCTTGGCATCAATGGACTATTTCCGATAAAAACTAGTGAAGACTCTAGGTGTTTTGGTATATATATCTCTTCTGACAATGTTGATCCAGGCTTTTCTAATCTTGTCCCTTTCTGTCACTGCAGGATCATTCTTCACCTTCAGTTTCTTTGGCAGACTTGGTTGATTATTTTTTCTTTTCCATAAAATACTGTGTCACAGGATCAAAAGATTCAAAACCCTCATATGTATCATTCCCCTTCTCCAGAACCTTCCTGCAGCTCATTGCCTCTTCTGATACCTTGATGCTGAAGTTTGAAGCTGAAAAGGCCTTCACTGTCTCTCGCTTGAAAAGATCCATATTGAGGTCGAGGCTCATCCATTCCATTACGGCTTCTAGCCATTAGTTCTGCTAATGATCTCAGATCCAGAGCTCCTTTCAAGTACAAATCTTCCACATGAAGATCTGAAAAGCTTGGTAAGTTAAATGACGACACTAGCTTGTCATAACTTGGAGGGATTTTGTAGACAATCACCGATATCTAAATACGAAGGCTCATTCATATGCCTATTCTGGAATCGATGCAAAATTCAATATGTTAATCTAAACACCATTTGATAACTAAAAGGATTACACATTATATATCCATATGACGAGGTGTCCAAGTCATAGAATCTCTCACGTTGATCCTTACCTCTGTAACTGCCCACACTGCTCTTCTACACGGAAAACCAATAGATTCCCCTGAGACTCCTTGGACCTACTTTTGAGTCTCTGCATATGCATTGATCTGTAATGCTCCTCCTCAGTAACATGTTGATTGTAGTTAAAATCATCATCAGCTTCTCTGTCCACCTCTTTCTCTTCTTAGCACTAAATCCATCCCTCCTTTGCCGTGGTTTGCTACTACCCCCAACCCATTAACCATATAGACACATATAAATGTCACTCAAAGTGGTGTCACACTTAGTGACACCACAAAAACACAATAAAATTAGTACCTGGATTGCTTATAGTTTCATCCTGGCTACTGCTCCCATAATAATTAATCTCATCTTCATGTCTCTGAATCCTCAAGTCCATCAACGGCTGCAAAAGTGAAAACTTTTTAATCACCAAAACTACATTCATCAGTGAGGGAATCATCAAGCCTTTGGTTTTTGAGACCGTACAGACCTCGAGATTGAGCGTAGCGCGAGTCATTGGATTGCCTTCTTGAAGAATCCATGAGAGAAAGAAACCCTTAAGAGCTGCTAATAGTCGCCAGAAGGTATTTTTTTGGGAAAAAAAAAGAGTTCGTCTCGAGGATAAACCAATCCAATACCGAACCAAATTAACCAATCGAACCCCCAAAAAATAATAACCAAACGAAATCCGATAATTAGTTAACTAGATTTTTACCCAATCCAAACAACTACAAAAATATTCCATCCGTTCCTAAAAGATACATATTCTACAGAAAAAATTTGTTTCTAAAAGATCCATTTTTTACATTTTCAATGTATGTTTTATTAAATAATTGTAAACTTCAACAAAATTAATTGCACTAATTGATTTTTGATTGGTTTAAAATTATGGAAAAAAGATAAATACAAAAAACTATGCAAATTTATTGTGTTTTATTAAAAAGTGTGAAAAAACTAGTATATGAATCTTTTAGGAACAGAGGGAGTATATTAAATTTTCTTATAGAGAAAATTACTCAGATTAATTCTAATTTTTTACTTAATTACTAGTTTAACTCTGTGTAATTAATACTCCATCCGTTTCATATTAAGTGTCGTTGTAGAAATTTTTTTGTTACAAAATAAGTGTCGTTTTTCGGTTTTCAATGCAAATTTTATTAGTTTTATTATGTAATTTATTTTTCTATTGGTTAATTAGGTGTATAGGTAATTGTGTTTTTATATAGAAAATATGTAAAATTAATTGTTTTCTTAATCTGTGTGCATAGTTCTGAAGGGACACTTACAAACAGAAAGAGTATAATCTAATATGGTGTATCCTCATGGGTGAATTCAAATCACCTGAGTGGTGTATTCTGTATTTTACGTGATGAAAATGGATGTACAATCATGCATAGCCGGCGAGCCTACTCATGTATGCGCACAAAAACAAAGGCTGACATATGGACTCTTTTCTGGGCGGTTGAGTGTATGCATAATTTACACTTCTCAAATATTATTTTTGAGACTTCCTCGGAGCGCCTACGTGACGTTTTCACAAAGACTAATGAACACCGTAGCCTCAGCCTTATTCGCCAGTATCTGCTTTCTTCTCCTAAGGATAGATCTATGGAGTTTGGATCACGCTCTTCCACAATGCAATGAAGCAGCAACGGCAATTGCGTTAAGCGTCACTCGTGATCGGCGTCACCAGTCATACATCTCCCGCAATGCTCCGGTGTGGTTACAACACTTACTCGCCATGGAGGCTCAACAATGAAGGGGTTTGGTGTAGTCCCTATCACTTTTGTTTGTTGTCTACTAACATCTCATCTTATCTCTTTTGTATCTCCTTCTTGTATCATTTCGAATTCTACCAAAGTGTTATAAAAAAAAAAATATAATCCAATATAGGTACAAAAAGACCCATTAACCCTAATAGTATCTATTTACTATAATTTAGCCATTATTTATTTGTTCGTATAAAAGTTGCCAGCAACGTTTCAATCTCTCTTTGATGTTTTTAATTGTAAAATATCTTCCTAGTTTATTATAAAGATGTTTAATAGGTACGAGGAGGCGCCTCCTGAGTTTGCGAGCGCTAAAACGTTGGTGTTGTGGGCCTTTTCCACTACCAAATGTGTCCTTAATCAATCTCTTGCTATAATTGTCTTCATTTCCAACCCCAAATGTGTGCGTCTCTTCCACTACCAAATGATGTGTCTTCCAACAGATGAATATAATATTCTTCTGGCATATGAATCCGAACCTGACTTTGTTCCTGCAAATTTTCTCTGGGAAACCTTAATTGAAGGTTTGTGTTCTTGTCTGATGGTTTGTTTGTTGTTATTGTCTGATGATGATTTTTATCAGTAACATAGTTTTCTTCTTTCAGATGCGAAAATTGGGAATACAATTGAGGAGGCCTTCACAGGTGAGTCTGGAGGGATTTTCTGTGCAGTATGCAACACTCACAGTTTTGGCGGTACCCGCATTGAAGATGAGGATCTATCCGCTCATCTCAGGAGTCAAAACCATAGATATGCAGTAAGTCATTCTTACTTTCTCTCATTACTTTTGTCAATAGACGATGTATTATAATTCAAACTTTGCTCTGTCAACAGATGTTTGGTAAATCCAGTAAAGGTCTATTTGACGTTGAGTATAGTTTTGCCTACAAGTGGGGTACTTACCACAAACTTCTTCCAGAAAAATTGACTCACCTTCTGAAGAATCACCCAGAGGCAAGTTCGTTTTTTTTTTAAATTTTTTTATTTATTCTCTAAATTTTGAATCTGATTGAACTTTGAACTTGATTTTGGTTGGTGTAGAGGAAGGTCTTGAAGGGTACAATCCTGTTGATGACCATGATCTGTTCGAGTACGATCCCAGGCATGCTCAGACGAGGATGATGATGAGGAGGACGAGGACAAGACAACCGAAAAATGAGCGGCCTCTCTACCCAAGACTAGCTTTTATCATGTTTCCTTTTTATCATGTGTTTTTGACCTTTTTATGTTCTATTCATGTGTTTGGTGGAAATTAATCCAATACTTTGGATGTGAATACTGTTTTTTCTTTAAACATAATGCTCTCAAAAATATGAAATTGAGATAAACAAAATCGAAGTTATTTTATTTATTTTTTTGGTAAAAAATATCGAAGTTATTTTTGTCGCATAACAATGTTTACGGTGGCTTTTGGTGTCTCGAAGCGGCTCAGTGCAGTGAAAATGTTCAAGTAAGAGCTTTGTGTTACCACACCGTGGGAGGAGTGCTTTACGTCATCAATGGTATTAACAAAGATTGGCTCCGGCCCCAAGGGAGATTAAGGCCCAAGGCCCGAACTTCTTTGGAAATTCCAAAAAAAAAAGAGCTTTGTGTTACCACGGATGTGGCAGTCCAGTTGGTTTAAGCGTAGACGTTGGTGTTGTTGTACTCCTGGATTCGATCCACATCGTGGAAGGAGTGCTTTACGCCATTAATGGTATAAGCAAAGACTGGTTCTGGCCTAAGGGAGATTAAGGCCCAAGGCCCGAACTGTCTTGGAAATTCAAAAAAGAAAAAAAAAAAAGAGCTTTGTGTTAGTTCGGGTGAGGAGGACTCATTTCATCTCTTGGTGACAAGTTTCCGGCTCCTTGTTAATTTGTCTAAAATCTCAATCAACTCATCATATTATTCATCGAATGGATGGGACGTGGGTGAAACTTGTCTAGTTACTTAGTTTAAGTTTATGTATATGACTCTTGTCATGTTTTGCCTGATGATATTATTATGATCAATCGGCTTTTGAAGTCTTGTTATATGCTTTGTTAATCTTTAGATGACAAAAGAAAAATAACCGAATAAAACCAAAACAGAATATGTAAAAAATGTAGGGGCAAATGTATAAATATTGAAAGTCTTATTAAAGATAACCCTAATTCAAAACACCATCTCTCTCTCTCTGCCGTCGTCTTACAGAGAGCTCCTCTGAGATTGAGAGATTTCCCCAAAAATGGCGGAAAGCAAAGAGAACTACGACCTAACCCCTCGAGTAGCACCAAACCTAGACCGTCACCTGGTGTTTCCCATACTCGAGTTCCTACAAGAGCGTCAGCTTTACCCCGATGAGCAGATCCTCAAGTTCAAGATCGAGCTTTTGAACAAGACCAACATGGTTGATTACGCCATGGACATCCACAAGAGTCTTTACCACACCGAAGACGCTCCTCAAGGTATAATAATGTCTGTGAAAGTTGACGTTTTTAGGCTTGTTTGGTTGATGATTAGTCTTTGTGGTGTTTGATAGATATGGTGGAGAGGAGAGCTGAGGTTGTGGCGAGGCTTAAGTCTCTGGAGGAGGCGGCTGCTCCGCTTGTGACGTTCCTTTTGAACCCTAATGCTGTTCAGGAGCTAAGAGCTGATAAGCAGTACAATCTCCAGATGCTCAAGGAACGTTACCAGGTTGTGTTTTTTGTCTTATGTTGTCGTGTTTTGTTTGCATTTTAGTATGGAAAGACTTGATTGTAAAGTGTGATTTTTGATCAAATTGGTCCGGAGAAGATAGAGTTGTGGTTTTGTCTTATTTTGTCTTGTTTGGTTTGCATTTAGTATTGAAAGACTTGATTTTTAAGTGTAATGTTTTGATCAGATTGGTCCAGACCAGATAGAGTTGTGGTTTTGTCTTTATTTTGTGTTGTTTGATTTGCATTTAGTCTCAAAAAACTTGATTTTTATGTATAATGTTTTGATCAGTTTGGTCGGGAGGAGAGCTGATAAATTTTACATCTTTTGTGTTGTTTGATTTGCATGAACTGAGTTTCTTTTATGTAATGTTTTTTTTTTTATCAGATTGGTCCAGACCAGATTGAGGCTTTGTATCAGTACGCTAAGTTTCAGTTTGAATGTGGTAACTACTCTGGTGCTGCTGATTACCTCTACCAGTACAGGACGCTTTGCTCTAACCTTGAGAGAAGTTTAAGCGCCTTATGGGGGAAGCTTGCTTCTGAGATTTTGATGCAGAACTGGGACATTGCACTTGAAGAGCTCAACCGTGTTAAAGAAATTATTGATTCTAAGGTCTGCATTTTTGAGTTTCTACTAGCTTTAGTAGGCTTTGAGATCTCCCCGTTGATGTGGATATAGATACTAATTAGTGTTTTGGTGTTTCAGAGTTTTTCATCGCCGTTAAACCAGGTTCAGAACAGGATTTGGTTGATGCATTGGGGTCTTTACATCTTCTTTAACCATGATAATGGAAGGACACAAATCATTGATCTTTTTATCCAGGACAAGTAAGTTTCAACCTTTCTGATATCTGCTTCACCTAGCACTATTCCTTATAGAGTTTTATAGTGGCAAATAACCAGTATGTCTAGAAACTCCTTTCTCCATGTATATTATTCGAAACCTATCTAAAAGCTTCCCCCTTGTAATTCTTGTCCATCTAAGTTAGTTTGAGCTGAATTTGACATGGAAGATTGCTTTTACGTTCATGAATGCATCACATTTATGTCTCAATAGAAGCGTGATCTGAGTGGAATGAAGTTATGGATTAGTGAGAGTCTTCATTCTGTATGTCTGGGCCTTCTGTTTGGATTGTGTTTGTAGTTTATGCAGTATTGTATACTAATATTCTACATTTTTCTAGGTATCTGAATGCGATACAAACTAGTGCTCCACACTTACTGCGTTACTTGGCAACTGCTTTCGTTGTCAACAAAAGGAGAAGGCCTCAACTGAAAGAATTCATCAAGGTCATTCAACAAGAGCACTACTCCTACAAAGATCCTATTGTGGAGTTCCTGGCATGTGTGTTTGTCAATTATGACTTTGACGGGGCTCAGAAGAAGATGAAAGAGTGTGAAGAGGTAAAGCCCGTTCACATGTATCTTGTTTCTTCTTTTGGAAACGGTGTAGGATAATATAATCAAACAGTCTGACATGTTAATACGATGTATAGGTCATTGTGAATGATCCATTCCTTGGAAAGCGAGTTGATGATGGAAACTTTTCAACTGTGCCGCTGAAAGATGAGTTTCTTGAAAATGCACGGCTGTTTATCTTCGAAACCTACTGCAAAATTCATCAGAGAATTGACATGGGGTAAGTTATTATGTTCGTTTAATTGTATTTGTTTCAACCTCTCAACATATTGAGAATCTCATGGCCTTGTCAGGGTTCTTGCTGAGAAATTGAACCTGAACTATGAGGAGGCAGAGAGATGGATTGTGAACCTTATCCGTACCTCTAAGCTTGATGCCAAGATTGATTCCGAGTCAGGAACCGTAATTATGGAGCCTACTCAGCCCAACGTGTAAGAAAGATACAATCTTCTCGTAAGTCTTAATGTTTGAGGATTCTACAGTCTAAACTAAGTTTCCGATGCAATGCAGGCATGAGCAGTTGGTAAACCACACCAAAGCCTTATCAGGAAGGACTTACAAGTTAGTGACTCAGCTCTTAGAACACTCGCAGGGGCAAGCAGCTCGGTAATCACACCTATTTTTTCCCGTCGAATCTATCTTTGACCCTTGTCTTGATAAGCCTTGCTTTCTTGTCACTCGAATCAGTTGTTTTTTTGCTTTGAATTTGCCTTCACTTCGCAAACATGTCTACACACTTTCATTTTGCAAAAGTTATATTTACTGTTGGATTCGTACATTGCTTCTACATTGAGCATACATATCACAAGTGTAGCCTTTCAAAATTATAAATTACACCACGAGTCCAACACACCAGAGTCATTTAGAGATCTCCATTTCATTTTAATATATAATTTATGGGAAGTTTCTTCAGTATGACGGACTTGCAGATGGTTACAGTTTCTTTGGAGGTGGGTTTCCTCCAGAGAGCACCACATAGGAATAGAAACATAAAACATGGCAGCACTGCAGTGAAACAGACATAACACACAAGGTTACATGAATCCACTAAAGATATTTACATCACTCTTGTAGCTCACTAAAGGGTTTCTCACCTGGTCACAGCAAAAAGTCCGGCAGGAAGCAGCTTTTTCGTCTGGCAAAAGTACAACGTTAAGCAGTTGAAATCGAGCAAGCAAAGAGTTAACAACAATCAGCATAATCAAAAAGATGATGAATTACCATAGAACAAGGATAAGATCCGCACCTTGCGTGGGATGAATTTATTATTTTTATTATGTTTTGAAAAATGAAAAATGAAACAATATCTCAATTCAGATATCGAGTTTCCGTTCGGTTCAATTTTTCAGTATTTCGGTTATTAAAATATAACTACTATTCTAAATTCATATTTACTTCAATTTGATTTAGTTTATATACCATCGATTTTCAGTTTATTCAGTTTTATACCAAAAAAATAATTATCTAGTTTGCGATAATATATAATATGATCAGATTTAGAGTCATATTGTCAAAAATTCATTTATTAAAAAATATTATATATTTAAATAAAAAAAAAACAAAAAAAGTCTTCTATCATCTAATAAAATGATCAAATCTAGAATTAATATCAAAGCTCTAAATTTTGAAAATAAAAATAAAAAACAAAACATAAGCATGAAAGAAAATTTTTTATATTCTTCCATATTTAGTGTTCATCAAATTAACATGTTTTCGCTTGAACACAACTTTGTTTGTTTAAAGATAAAAAGAAAAGTTGTAAAGAATTTCAACTAATTGTTTGTCCATCAAATTTATAATATTTACTTTAATTTAGTTACTGCTAAAATAAAGCAAAAAGATTAAAAAAAGACTCAAAGAATGAGAAACCTCAGTTGCAGTAAATTGTTAGATAATTATAGCTCAAGTGATTCAAGTAATTTACAAATTATAATTATAGTTCAACTCATGTAACAAATAGATATTCATGCGTTGTTATAGATATATACATATTTACATATTTCAGTTTAATCGGTTCTAAATGAAACCATATCCAAATCCTATGGTTTTTATAAAATCACATCCACTCGGTTTGTATGGTATATACCAAAAATAACCATATTATCGATTGTTTAATATCTTTTAAAAATATAAAATTACAAAAAAAGAACTAAGATATTTAAATCATTGATAACAAAAAAATTCAATGTGAAAAATTTAATAAGTTTATAATTTATAAATGTTCTTAAAAATTCATTGAAATTTTTGAAATTAAAATATTTATGTAATCTTATATGGTATATAGTTTAATCTATAAATATATTAGTTTTATTATTGAATGATACTTTTTACTCATATGGTTTTAAAATCATGTGTATCTTTTTATAATAAAATGTTAAACTATTGATCATTAATTTTTAACATAATAATTTTAATAGATTTAGTCATTTATTCTCGTTTTTAATTCAAAATATAACATAGTAGGACCGGCCCGCCCTACGGGCGGGATAGCAAACTCCAAAATATCATAAACTATCTTTAATTATAAATTTATAATGGGTATTTTAAACTTTAGCTTACTCTAAACTAAATTGGTCTTGGTCTTAATTTTCATTGTCTTGGTTTTAATTTTCATTGTGTAGGTTTTGTTTTTAGTTAAGCAAAAAAACAAAATTACTATATACAACTGCGAACCTTACAAAATAGATGCATGCTATATTACTATTACAACAACTGAAATTTTGTTTTCATGATATAAACCGTATAGTTAATAATATTTTACCTAAGCGAATAATTAAAATCCACCATTTTTTCTATGCAATGAATAAATGATGTTCTAAGGCAAAACTTATATAAAATTGTCATCGGTAAGAACAAAAACTTCATTTACATCATAACTATCATAATTTAAATAGAATAAACATTAAACTATACATAATTAAGTATCCATGACTATTGTTTTCAATATTAAAAGAAAAGTAATCTATGAAGATGGAGTACTCTCCTTGTACTTCTTCCGAAGTACAACTGCTTCATGCGCCATAGCATTAAGTTTGGCACTAAAGCTCGCCACAAAATCAACATCAGACCATCTGAGATTTTCAAACTGCGACCCAAGATGATCTAGGCGTGTCCTCTTGACACTCTCATCTCCCTCCAATGAATTCAGCAGGATCTCCCACGCCTATTTAGCTGAAGTACTCCCTTGAATCAACTGGAACTGCTCTGCTTCAACGACTCCAAAAATTACTGATAACGCCTTTGCTATATAATTTTCATAGAAATATACACCATCTATTTTTTTTCAATATTAAAAGAAAAGTAATCTTAATAAGTACAACTAAAAAACGTCACTAATAGATATATATTGGATTCTCATTTTTCTTTATAATCTTTTCACTCTAGATTTATATTTATAGTAATAAAATTTTCAAGAAAAAAAAATATGTATCTAACCTAAATTATACTTTTTTCATAAAAACAAATTAGTTACATAATTATACACATATATATATTATTTTTAATAAAGGAAAAAAATAAAAATAAATTGCTATTCGTTATCTATTATTTTCAAAATAATTTGCTTCTCACTTTTTAGTAACAATAAAGACATTCTTTTATTAAACTGGTTCAGTTTAAACAATTTTTTGAATTGATTTTTTCTTGATTCTACATATCCATTATAACAACTTAAAATAAAAATGAAGTATAATAAAATATTTTTTTCAATATTAAAAGAAAAGTAATCTATGAAGATAATAACAAAACCTACACAATGAAAATTAAGACCAAAACCACTTTAAGTTTAAAGTGAGCTAAATTTTAAAATGTCCCATAAAACTAATGATGTTTTATGCAATTCTTGAGTTTACTATCCCACCAAACCCTAGTATTTCAAATTTTAAAGTTACAACTAAAAAACGTCACTAATATGAATTACCACACTCTATTCCGAATATTTGATCAAGTTTTATAATCAGCAAACATCTTTTCTGATTTATATATGAACATCCATCACTTCACTGGAGTTATGCTACAAACAAATAAACAAAATATATATAGACCAACTGTTTATCTCAATAACAAAGTAAACAATATCATATTTTGATATACACTATTTAAAGAGCTTATTATTGTTAGACATGTTTCTTTCAGTGATATAATAAGCAGCCAATGGTTTTGGTATCACAGATTAACACTAAAACTGATTGGTGGTGTTTTTTTTTCATTGAGTGTAAATAGTACAACAACAACGTGTTAAAAATGGATGATACGTCTTCAATCAACGTGAAGCTCTGCCGTGAGAAGAACTCTTACACGGGGAAAGAGTCTGCAGTTTCATCAGCACTACTCATCTCCAAACGACACCTTGCAGACAAATTAAGTGTAGATAAAATATATTGTTGCCTCTGTGTGTGTGTCTTAATTTCAAATCTAATAGAAGGCAAATAATGTAATATACATTAGCACACCAACAGCATTAGTGTTATTGCTTAGTTTGATAAATAACTTGTGATATGCATGCTCGTTCAATCTGATAGCACTTGAACTGTTATTGCTTAGTTTGATAGGAAGTGAACAGGTTTTGCTTAGTCTGATAAGACTTGAAATATAATCATGATATCTGTAAAGATCTTGTTGGGTATTTGCAGGTCATGAAAGTAAAGGATGATATAGTTCACTGAAGTTTCTTACTTTCTTTGTACACCTGGAGCCTTTGTCCATCTTGATACCAGTGACCCTCCCAGTGCATATGAAGTGTATATCCTGCATTTACAAAGTCTGGGATCACATACAGAGTATAAACATGCACTATTTTTTTAAAAAATGGCTGGGTAACCTGTGTCTGGACGGTGATGATGAGCTCATTTACCTCAGCTATGCTTCAAGGCTCAAGCCTATCGTATCCCCTCGGGAACTAAGATGCTAGAGTATTCCCAGTGTCACTGGGGACCAGACAAAAGATATGTTCAGGGAATCGTTAGATTATGTGATGGATAAGTAATCTAACAAACCGACATCAGTAACTTACTTGTCATAGTAGCTCTCCATGCATTAGTCTCCTTGGCAAAAAGATATGTGTCCCTGATGTGGCATTCAAGAACAGACGTCCTGCAAAATCATGATACTGCAAATGCCAAGAATTATTAGAGTCATCCCACTTAAAAAAAAATAGAGTACGTATCAAAACCTTAAATGCCTCCTATTTCTTGGGGTTGATGCTTGCTTCAACAACAACCCTAGCATCACACCGAAAACCTTCTTGCTTGTGGTGAAAATATATAGCTTGTGAGAATCATTTTGAAACAGCTATAAAAAGAGAAACATAAAGAGAAATATAGAACGATAAATACAAAGTCATTCACTGTTTTTTTCATGAAAGCAAGATAAGTAAATAAAAGAGGGCTTCGGGAGAGAGATGATGCCTTTTCAACTTTTTATTTGGCATATCTGTAATAAGAAGTCGAGCTTCACCATGAAACAACTGAAAGAACATTCCAAAACATATGTAAAAACACATCAGACAACAGTTTAGATCAGGTAATAAAATACAACTTTAAGAAGCATCGTACACAACCTTGGAGGCTTTAAAGATGGCATTACGAATTTCATTAGAAGCAGAATGACCAAGAGCAACCTTCATCACATAGGTTCGGGCCGAGGAAGAACCTGGACCAATAAGAACCAAACTACAAATCAAAGACCTATGTAATAACATATAATAATCTCTATTACATTCAAGCAACACCCATCTATTCATTAGTTACAATTTTTTTTTTTTAAAAAAAGCAAAGAAACTGACCTTCCATTGTGTAAACTTTTGTCTGAACTCCTTGAACGTGATATTTCTCATGTTATCAAAAGAGAAAACGTTTTCAGAATTATATTTCTCGACAGCCTCTCTGATTCCATTAACAATACTCTTTTGTGCTCTCTCCCTTTCGTTCTTTTTTGTCTTTGATAAATTCACTGCAGTAACAACAACAAAAGAGCAGAGCTCTCAACAAATTAAGTGAGTCACAACGCATTAAGAAAACAAATGCTGCACTACTTAAACGTAGTTAAAATCCACCTCATCAGAGTCAAGAGTCCGATTCATCTTCGTCTTCTAACTCAGATTCACCAGCTGCAAGGTTGGCCTTTTGATCAGTCAGTCAGATGGCGTTTGATTTTTTCAATTCTAAATAACAGTGTCAATTTAGAAGTAAACAGCTGCAAGGTTGGACTCACATTGGTTCAACTTCTCTACCCCAACCGTCTTGGACCATTTTGAGATCATATCACTGATTAATAGATTTGGAGTTAAGCTTGTGTGAGACAGAACTTGTTGTGTCTTGGGACATGTTCTGTTTCCAGAACTCAACCACTTTTGTATGAATAACTTATCATATGTCTGCAAAAAACACAGAAAACGTAAGAAAACCAACTCAATTTTCATTTATAATCCGATTTCTAGGGATATTATATAAAATTAAACCCAATTTGAGGGGAAACAAAACACTAAAAATGTAATTTGATAATTAATAAATGAAAATGCAGAATAATCTTCAAAGATCAATTCTTTTTTGGTACATTTAATCAAAAGACTCTAGATTTCATGAATGTGACGTCAGACGGGATCACGCACGCATGAACTTTCGAAAAATTCAGTCTTTGCCATCTCTCCGTCGGTATGCGGAGGAGAGAAGAAGGATAAGTGAGGGGTTGTAGTGTACCGCCACCACGTCATTATTTTTTCACAAAACAAACTTTAACACAGTAAAGTAAACCTACCATTTTGAGGCTCATCCATGGTGATTTTCTATCTTCTGAATCAAGTTCTGAAAAAAAAAATGAATGGGAGATCGTGAGGGGAGTGAAGAATGTTGTTAACGATGGCGTTAAAGACGTCTGGATTCAGCGAAAGTGTAGAAGACGGGTTTTCAGAGAAGGAAAGAGGATGGAGTTAAGTTAAGAAAAGGTTTAATGATTTGTAAATGGAATCGGTTTGATTGATAAAGAAGAATCAGAAAGGACGCAATCTAAACAACAAAAGAAATACCTTCAGAAACTATTCAAGAGACTATGAATGACCACATCCTTGAATCGGTGAAGAGCTTGAACAGCCTCGAGGAGAAATCGACCTTGGTGACCGTCTCGAACAAAGGCTGTCGACGTAGTGGAGGAGTGAATGAAGGTGATAAATCACGAAGCCTTGCGATTTGAGATGATGAGAAGAATCGCAAAAGACGCTGTCCAAGGAAGAGGAGAGACGAATTTTGTTCCTCGCTGATGCCGCATAAGGGTTAGGGCAACTCAGCTTTGTTGGGCCTGTTTTGCGCTAAAGCCCAAAACCAAATAGATAAGACGCAAATGCGGAAGAAGGGATCTGTCCTACGTGGACTTTCCACGCTGGATCCGACGTGTCACCCTTGAGAGGGAGAGAAACACTCAATTATATAATAGATACGAAAAAATCTAAAGTTTAATTTTATAGCTAATTTGATTGATATAAAATTAAAGAAATATGATGGAGGAGATATAAATTGAAATCAAATATTTATTATTAGAATCATTAATTGTCATATATATATATATATATTAGTCATTTATGGTAATTCCGTATTTTTTATTTAAGGAAAGAAAATAAAATAGTAATTATATTTAGCGAAACAATCATAAATGCTTCTATCATAAATATCATATCATATCATATAGTTTGATCAACAAATATATCTAGCGACATATAAAAATTGAATGTGGACCTACTTATTTTTCAATCTCTTATATATTACTCCCTCTGTTCCTAAAAGATCCATATTATAGTTTTTTCACACTTTTTAATAAAACACAATAAATTTGCATAGTTTTTTGTGTTTATCTTCTTTCCATAATTTTAAACCAATCAAAAATCAATTAGTGCAATTAAGTTTTTTGAAGTTTACAATTATTTAATAAAACATACATTGAAAATGTAAAAAATGGATCTTTTAGAAACAATTTTTTTTTCTAGAATATGTATCTTTTAGGAACGGAGGGAGTAAAAGAGAAACATTGTAATAAATGATTTTACACCATAATTGATATGTGTCAGTCTCACAATCATTTGACAATTAATGCGTTCACACACCAATTTTTTAATTCATTATTTAATGTGTTTATATACTATTTTTAATTAATTCATTTTTCCTATATTTTTAGCATTTGTATTAATAAATTAAAACTTTCTACGTGAAACTAATGAATAATATCTTTATTGTGAAAAATTACAAATCATTAAGATTCGCATCAACTAAAATGTTGCGATGAAAATAGTTTTGTACCTTGCCGAAGTTGGTCATGGTTGAGGCTTCGGTACACAATAACAACATATACGTTGATTGATTATGAATTAAAGAAACTGAGGTGAAAAACACCACACGTAAAGTCAGATCTTTAGTTTAGTCAAATATTAATATTCTTATAAAGTTTTTATATCAAACCAAGAATTAAAACCAAAATCAATTGGTAAAAGAAAATCCGAAATCAAAAAAACTTTAAAAATAAATAAAAAATAACAAAATCTATTAAAAAAAAGAATTCAGATACCAAGTGAAAATGTCACTTTGTAATATATATTATTTTTATTGTATACGGGTACAGTTTGGTTTTCTTCATATGATCCAAGGACCCGCTTTTATATAGTATAGAGATATAGCACACGATATAAAACATTTTTAAAACATTTTTGTTCAAAATAACACATGATAGTAAACTCTTAAATAAAATTAAGTAAAAATAAACAATCCTAGAAATTAATAACATTTTTTTATAATTACATTTATATACTTTTACATATATACATGTACATATTGACATGAGAGACTATATAACTAAATATTCACCATAAGTGAGAATTTTAATTCTTATTGAAGTTGTTTTTTTTAATGTTTTTTTCACTATCGCTCAAATTGTAGTGAAATATTCTGTGTTAATAATTTTATTTTATCTTTTTTCTTCAAATATTATTTTGATTTTATTTGATTTTACATGTCTTTAGAAATTATAATAGGAAACTATTAGTTCAACATAAAAAATGTTTAAAATTTATATAAAATGAAACCAAACAAATAATAATAGTTTTTTGTTATCATCGAAAAAATTAAAAACATCAAACATGTAAACTAAACAAACCAAAATAAATATTGATTTAGAATGATAGTTATATTTTAAGACATTAAAAAAAACAACGTAAAACCGAACCAATATCCATATTAAACAAATATAATATCATTTTTATCTTAAATGTAACAAAAATAATAATCTCATTCCGCACAATGCGCGTGTTATTACCTAGTTGAATGTAATTGACTATCTAATTGAATGACACTTAAGCATGTAGTCGTTTTTAATTATTATAAAATTGAAGTTACAATTTTTCAAATGTTTCTCTTGTAATATATAGGGGATAAGCTGTGAAGTTCTTCCAGAGGACCACAGCTGAAAGCACTGCAATTTCAGGGTTTAAAAGAATGAGTAAAGCATAACAGCTTTCATAGATGAGCAAAAACATTTCGATAAACATTAATGTGCTCATAAATGATCTTGGTTCAGAGATGACCACTTCTCTGTACCACACAGTGTACTTATATGGATTTTCACAGATTCGTTTATCATGTGTATGGATTACAGTGTAGACAGTAAATGAAAATTACCTGCTTGCCCATATATATATAAGGGAAACTATATTTTGCCACCACCATAGAGGACCCCAGTACTTAAACTGTTAAGATTTCCTGAAAATGCAAATTTAAGAAGCACTCCACTCATAACTAGACCACCTGGAAAAAAAAATGTGTCATTTATAAAGCAGAATCAGCCCTCCCCTCCTAAGATCTCAAATTCAGTTTTGAGAGTGACGAAGTATAACATAAGGAATGCCAAAACAGAAGTCATGTATCTTTGCTACTCTCTTTGTCCGTGTGAAAACATGTTCCTCTACTGTCTCTGTGATAACCTCTTTATCTATGTGGGATACGGCTTTGATGTTTTCTCAACAAAAGGTTTTGAAACCTCAGCTGTCTAGCTAAGAGAAACTGGTGGTTTAGAGCTATTGCCATCAACGCTTCTAACTATAAAAGATTGCATCTTTTAAGAGAATTAGCCACTATCAGTTCCCAAACAAAGCATTCTAAGCACATTACAAACAAGCAGAGATGTGAATACGATTTCTAAAACTCAATCAAGCTCGAAACTTTTTGACAGTAATGAGAAATGCAATAATGGGTATTATCAATACTAGGGAATTTTTACACCTAGAGCATGGGAATGATCGGGTTTTGAAGTGGAATTGGCGATTGGTGGAAGAGAAACAAGCAAGGTTAGAGATTTTGCGAACATATTCGAGATCTGAGATTGAAGAATGATAGTGGAAAGTCAAAAGAGAAAGAGAAAGAATCGATTTTGAGGGAATTGAGCACCACGGAAGGGAGTGCTTAATTTTTTGATTCATGAAACGAAGAACATGATGATCCGACAATGGTGACCGTTCGTTTTGTTTTTGAAAATTCCACCGGTCAAGATGTGACGAGGAATTACGCGCATGCGGTTAATGCGTTTAAATTATCTTTGTGAGTTGTGTTAATTTGTCGGTTTAGAGTTCGGTTTCGTCTCAGTGGGCTCGAAATAGTCTTTGGTTTTGTATTGGGTTTATTTTGTTCCAAGTCCAGTAACAATTTTTTTTTTTTTACTAACCGAGTATCCTGACCCCATCGAAGTGGTCCAGACTATAGATCGAAACGAGTAAGGACACTGTCAGGGCGTCACCATGTGGCTCACTTATAACGGTCTTCGATTTCGGATGCTGCAGCCCATATGTAAATTCCGCAGTGGCCAAGGTTCAAACCTAGGGGCGGGCACTGCAGCTGGAGTTCCTTTACCACTAGACCAAAGCAACTTGGTCAGTCCAGTAACAATTGTTTACCATTATTGTATAGATCCTTGCTCTTGATTCTTAATACACGTATATGTGTATGTATATATTATATATGTGTATATAATTATGGATTAAGGACTTATGAAAACGAAATAGAAAGTTTCTTAAGTAAGAGATTTTCTGTTTCGTTTTCCGTAAAGTCCTTGATCCACAATTATATACGCATATATAATATATACATACACATATATGTGTACCAAGAATCAAGAGCAAGGATCCATGCAATAATGTTGCTCTAAAAATAAAGAAAAGATGTTTTTGCTAAGATTTATCACTATTACAAATTGGAATTAGGCAGACGACTTTTTTTCACATACCGACCATTACATTTGTTTGTGAAACTTCACGGTTTTATTTGACTAACTTTAAACCATTATATAAAGATATATGATTGATAATTTTATTTGCAATGTGCTGAAAATTTCAAGTAAGCATTTTTTATTAATCATAGTAATTATAATTAAATTATTATTAATTTTAATTCAAAACTCATAATCCAGATTTCAAAATGTAGAATCATTGTGAACCTTAGTTGAATCGTTTGGATAAGAGAGGATTTTACAAATAAAGACAAAATTTGTATACCAAGAAAAAAAAAGTTCAAAAAGTCGGTCAGATTTTTCTTCACATCTTAGAGCACCCCTATTGAAGGTTCATGGGGGGAGTTCACACGGAAATCAAGAAAAAAAAAAAAAATAACAAAAACCTATGAACCCCTCTCTCCTAAAGTTCACCTCGGTGAACTCATCTCTCCTGAGATTCAACACGTGGCGGCTCGGGATTGGTCTAGATTTTTTTTTTTTTTTTTTAAAAAAATAAAAAAGAAAATAAAAATTTTTTAATAGTAAAAAAATGATTCAATGAACCCCAAGAAAAGGTTGATTGATGTGGATGCTCTTAATGTTCAACTAAACCAGAACATACGGCTCAAGACTCACCAACAACAAAAATCCCTTCGATTTTTTTGGTCATCATCTTAAATTGCTGGGCTGCCATGGCGACCATGAGAACAGTAAACGATAGATAAAAAATTAAGTTATTAAAACTTGGTTGACAGCATGATGTATATCTTATGACGGTTTTGTGACGCAATTGTATGTGACATTAAGAGAAGACTTTTCAATATCAGTTACACAAATGTGTGTGACATTAAGAGAAGACTTTTCAATTTCAGTTTGAGTACCGACGAATGAGATTTCATCATTTATAACTTTTCTGTATGAAAAAGTATGGACCATATAACACTCTTTTATTTTGAAACTAAAAAACTACAATGAATATAATTTTCAATTGTTTCTTTTAGAGAGAATATTAAAATAATGTTGGAATGTGTAAGGGAAATTGTTATTGCGGTGGACATATATAACATCAGCAAGTTGTTCATAAATAGACCACGTCTATTTTGTTATCCAAGACTAAATTCGACTGAGAAAAAATATATGTGGCTCTTAATATCATTACTCTATCCAAATCACGTCCCTTCATAATTGTAATTTACTGTTATACTACATCTACATTATTCGGTATATTAGCCTTTACGTATAGGGCCATACTCACTCGTATACGCTGAGTACTATAATTTTTTAATTTTCATTTATTTGTATTCTGATTTTGTAGGATGCTACGACGATTATGTAACTAATTAAGACTTGGTTTGCATCATGATATCTTACAATGTATATAAGAGTATTCGTAAATTAAGACAAGATGATTTTAAATTAGTTTAAACTCTTGTAATTTTGGAAAAGTATCCGGTTTATTTTATATATATAAAAAACGATAGAATGATAAGTTAAGCAAATTGACGAAGTAATTAATGAGAAAAATGTATATAACATATCTGACATTTATAGTTGTTTTTTTGTTTGCTAAATTAGTTGTTTTTAGTTACAAACCGCATGCATATAATCCAACATGCGGGAAACATTTTTATGTAATATCCAGAGTCTATTCGTGGAAAAGGAAACGAGGCCGTAAAGGTCGAGGTTCCTAATCAAACACTCAAGAACCCTTCCAAGTTTGGTTAAACTAAAGAGTTTTTAAAAAAAAAAAAATTTCAAGGAAGTTCGAATCTTGGATCCAGAGCCAACGCTAATATCAATTATGGCGTAAAGTCCTTTGAATTCTCTCATGGTAGATCAAACCTAAGAGCATAACATCACTAAACAGTTGTTCTTACTCCTTGGATTTCTATAGATCTTTCAATACTTACTTTATGTATCTAGGATTTTCAAGTTATGCGATCTAAAAATCACATTTTGTACTTTGTCTTTTAATTGAATGCTCTTTATATATATATATCAATTCAGGGCCAAAACAAAATGATTTTAGGGTGTGATTAGTTTTTGGTAGAGTAATATGCTAAAAATAAAATGGTTAAAAGTGGTGAAAAAAGAAACGTCACATCAAGAGTAAAACATTTTTTTCCACTAGTATAGAGAGAACCATATTGTATTTTCTCACTTTTCTAGCGTTAATCATTGGAAAGTATTCCCTCTGATTGGCTAAAAATCAGAGTAATTCAGCAAAAAAAATGATTTTACTCCAGATTATTATCGCTAGATGTGCTTTTCAATCAGAATTTTAATTGTTTTGAAATACATGAAGCATGTTCACTTACAATGGTCGATGTTAACCTTCATCCAAAAAATGAATTGGTAAAAAGAAGAAGTGATAGTAACATATTTATTTGGACCAATAATTTTTTTAACGTAAATGTACCTCCTTTAACAAATACACTATGTAATAGTCGTTGAAAAAACAATACGTAAATGAAACGTGTACCTTGTAAATGTGAATACATTTTCGGGTGTACTGATAAATTTATCCTTGTAAGGTAATATTTTCCATTTTATCACTAGTTCATAATATTTTTAACTATATGTTTCTATAAAATGTTACTCCCTCTGTTTCAATATAAATGTCACTCTACAGCTATGCACACGGATTAAGGAAACAATTAATTTTCCATATTTCCTATATAAAAACACAATTACCCATACACCTAACCATAATTTAACCAATAGAAAAACAAATTACATAATAAAATTAATAAATTTTGCATTGAAAACCGAAAACGACACTTATTTTGTAACACAAAAAATTCTCTACAACGACACTTAATATAAAACGGAGGGAGTATACTATAACATTAGTTTGATTTTTTTAAAGAATTTGGTTATGAATTCAAGACATTTAATTACATATCGGTCGGAAACGAGGTGAGATTTGAAATCAATGAGTAAATGACTAAATTCGTTCTTGTGGATATTTACTTCACAAACTTTCATACAGAAATGTCGTAGTTTAAAAGTATGGATTGTAGATATGAACCAAAAAAAATGGAATGTAGACTTCAGTGTCTAACGTGTTCTAAGAACCGTCGGCATGTTTATTGAGGAGATTTTTAAGATGGAATTTTTAACTCATGATTTGATAATTTTTTGTTTTTTCTTAAAATATTTTTTGGCTAACAACCGGTCTTAAATAAGAGTTTTAAGAAATGATTCTTAATTTTTCTTAATTAAAGTTAAGAAATGATTTTTATATTACGCTAAAAACATAATCTTAAGAATCTTGCAATAAACATGGTGATAATGGTGTAAATCCTATAATAACGTAACGGTACAGTTAATATAAGAGTTCGCACGAGATTGAGGTATATATGACTAACGGATCATAATACCATGCATGATCCAACCTATTGTTAGGAAAACACAACAGTCAACAATTACATAAATTTGAGTATTTTTAAAACCGAATCCCGTTTGACTCTTCAGTCTATGGGTATATTGACCCTAGCTATTGAAAGCTACTTGTGTGGAGAACTCATGTTCGTAGACTTTTCAAGGCATATATGTATTGCAGTATTTGTTAATGTCATTACATGCATTGACTGACTTGAACGGAGGACTCGCACTATAAATAGGCGCACAATGGTACGATTCAAACATAAAAAAGAAAAACTCAAAGTATTATTTCATGAAAATGTCTGGGGATAAGATGTTAGCATCATCACCAATGTTGATGTTTCTTCTCAGCCTTCTAATGGCTTCCTTCTTCCACACCACAGGTTTAGTCATCTCTTTTAAGCTTATGTTATATCCATTAATCATCTCTTGTGAAGGAACCTATTGATTATATTTTACTGCATGACTATTTTTTATTACTAGCTGGACAAGTCGGAGTATGCTTCGGGCAGAAGGGAAATAACCTACCAAATCCAAGGGAAGTTGTGGCTATGTACAAGTTGAACAACATCACGCGAATGCGGATGTACGAAAACAACACTGAAGCTCTCAACGCTCTCCGTGGCTCCGGCATCGAGTTCATCCTCGACGTTCCCAATCACTTCCTAAAACTTTTCGCAGATAGCCAAACGGAGGCCAACGCATGGGTCCAAAACTACGTCAAGAACTACCACAACGATATCAGATTCCGGTACATCTCGGTCGGAAATGAGGTGAAACCAGGGGACCAGGGGACGGCTCTCTTCCAGGCGATGCAGAACATTGATAAAGCGCTTTCCGACGCAGGCCTCAGCAATATCAAGGTCTCAACGACTACATACATGGGAGCCTTCACCGAAACTTTTCCTCCGTCCCACGGAAGATTCAAGGATGAGTTTTTGAACTTTCTCCAACCGGCGATACATTTCTTGGCGGGCAAGGGATCTCCTCTGCTAGTGAATATTTACACTTACTTCAGCTACAAGGACAGCAAAAATGACGATATCCCTCTAGCATACGCTCTGTTCACAGAGACGAACCCTAGAGTCCTTGATAACCCGCACACTTACCAAAACCTCTTCGACGCCAACATCGACTCAGTTTACGCGGCATTGGAGAAATCAGGCGGGGGATCGTTGGATGTCGTGGTGTCGGAGAGCGGTTGGCCCACGCAGGGAGGGAAAGAGACAAGCAAGGAGAATGCGAAGACTTATGTTAACAATTTGATACAACATGTGAAGAATGGATCTCCCAGAAGGCCAGGGAAACCTATAGAGACTTACATATTCGCCATGTTCGATGAGAATGACAAGCCGGAGGAGACTCCGGTTGAGAGGTACTGGGGGCTGTTTTCTCCTGATAAAGTGCGTAAATATGATGTTACGTTCAACTAATCTCCTTTTGGAGAGACTTCTTGAAGAAGCAAGGGCTAGTAAAGTTGTGATGCGGCAAACGGTATTTGTCTATTTGAGCGTTTTTTAATGTATGAAAACTGTGTGAACTTGTTGTAATAATAAAGAGTAATGAGCCGTAACCATGTTTTTACTTCATATGTTTCAATAATGTAATGATAGTTGCTTAAAGTTCTTCAATATATACAAATGATATGAAAATGTTCATTCGTTCATAGTTAACAAAAAAAATTACAATATCAGCTGAAACATTTAGACACAAGCCTAAGCATAGCCATCATCAACACGGCGTCTATTTATGTCGTCCAGAACTGAAATCGACACCAAGAAGAAAGTTCTTCGGCTATTAACTAGGATAACTACACAATACTTCTATATGACATAAGACATGTCCCATCATGATTGCGACCTTTGAAACCGAACTCGATCTTAACTTGTGGTCTGAGTTTAAACTAACATTGAACCTTTTTTTTTTGGTAAAATAAACTAACTTTACTTGTTTCATAATCTTTTGTACTGATTTTCTAGACTGCTATGAGGTAGCTAGAACCTAGTATTGAGAATATAAAAATGCGATTGGTTAAACCGTAACCGTAGAAATTTTATTATAAATTATTTTTGTAGAATTTTCTGATATATTTATATCTAATGTAACTGTAGAAATTAAATGAGAAAAAATGAAATATAGCAATCCTAAAGCATTATTTTTTTTGTTTTAGAAAATAAGGTTTTTATAACTCTTTTTATTTGTATTTTTTACTTCAACTTTAAAAACTATTTAAATATGATTATTGATTTATATGGTTATAGATAGAAAATAAAACTATCATTAGTTAAAGTGCAACCAATCATCCCCAATGTATCACATGTGTTTAAGAATATTGTTTAATACGACGAGGTTATTATATATTCCAGTATCCACTACCTTTTTATTTACCAATCCATTATATTTTCTACAATCTTGTATTTATAATAAGTATCAAATGTCAAATTCACCCAGTACAGAAACACATATCATTGATGATGGCTTTACGTACACTTTACATTTTACTGATTTTTTTTTTTTTTTTTCAAAATGCAAGTCATTATCGTATTTAATCTTAGGCTGTATGGAGTGTGGTGTATAGGGAAGGATACATTGTTCGGAGAATTTAGTTCTTGGATGTCGATTTCTATGTATAACATAATATATTACCACATTGGCTCTAGAAGATTACTGATTCACAATTCTTCTGATTAGCTAATTTGATCCGGCTTATTTTCAAAAACAAAAAAAAAATCTTGTATTGGGAGTATTGGTTGGTGTATTTTAATGGATTTGAAAATCCAAACCAAATATAGTGTTACTGGTTCTAGAATTTTAAAATTCTTATTCAAATCATATGTCATTAGTTTCATGATCTATAACGTCCAATTTAAATCATATGTTATTCAATCATACGAATTTACTAATAGATTTATTTTACAATTGATTTGTATAGATTTTTTTTTTAAAGAAAAAATACAAAGACTCAAATTCAAGGGAAACATTTAGTACTTGTAAATTCTAATTAAAATTTGGAAAATCGCATAAAAACCTTGAAAGGGGTACTTACTCACATTTTAAACGTTGAATATTTTTACTATCATTTTAAACCTTTAAAGTGATATTTCTATCATAAAAAAAACCTTCAACTTAACTTAGACTTTTATTGGTACTGCAAATGATAAAACATTAGCAATTTACTGTAATAATAGTATGCTGCAGAAATTATATGCTTTCATTAAAGTTTTTAATAATGTGATTGGCAGAGCAGTAGTTGTTTGAGGTGAAAATGGTTTAGAAACAATATAAGAGTGAGATGGGGCGAACAAAGACGCTCTTTATTAGATCTGAACAAGGAGTTACAAGGAGGTAAGTAGAGGCAAACTAGCCGGAGCTCGGAGAGCAGATCGGAGGAATACAAAGTAGTGAGTATCGGTGAACGTAAGGAAACCTTAGATCTAACCACCTAGTATCTATGAAACCCTAGATCTAGCCGCCTAGTGAGTATGTCGAAAAATGTGGATCCCCTTTCCCCTTCCTGCCTCTCTCCTTTTATAGACCTTATCTTCATGTTCGCCCTAGTTTACCCGAGCCTTGTTGGGCTTTATTCTCGTTGAGCCCGTTTAGTAGCCCGGGTAAATCATGCTTCTGCCGACTCTTCCAGAACACTCTTAGTTGCGCTACTAGACACGTCCTCGTGCTGAGGCGTTTCTTACGCGTTTAGTGGGCCGAGTACATTGTCACATCGGGCTAAGCTTCTCCATCTGATGGGCCTTGTGGACGGGTATAACCCATCTCCTACAATAAGTCCCCCCCAGTTCACTTGTGAGTTCTTAGGACTCTAAGTGAATTTGTGGGTCAGGTTTGATCATATGGGGAATCTAGCATGGATGCGCATTTAGGCGTCACCTTGAGCGAGTCTATTAGCGCGGCTAGGACGTCGTCTGCTAGAGCGTGTTTAGCATCCATCATGAGCGGATCTAGTAGCGCGGCTAGGACGTCGTCTGCTCGAGCGTGTTTAGCGGTCACCTTGAGCGAGTCTAGTAGTGCGGCTAGGGCGTCTTCTGCTAGAGCGCGTTTAACAGTCACCCTGAGCGGATCTAGTAGCGCGGCTAGGACGTCGTCTGCTCGAGCATGTTTAGCGGTCATCTTGAGCGAGTCTAGTAGCGCGGCTAGGGCGTCTTCTGCTAGAGCGCGTTTAGCAGTCACCTTGAGCGCGTCTAGTAGCGCGGCTAAGATATCTTCTGCTAGAGCGCGTTTAGCAGTCGCCTTGAGCGCGTCTAGTAGCACGGCTAGGACGTCGTCTTGTAGCGCGTTTAGGTGCCTGCTCAAGCGAGTCTGGTAGCGCGGCTAGGATGTCCTCTGCTAGAGCGCGTATAGGCGCCAACATGAGCGGGTCTAGTAGCGCGGCTAGGACGTCGTCTTGTAGCGCGTTTAGGCGCCTGCTCAAGCGAGTCTAGTAGCGCGGCTAGGATGTCCTCTGCTAGAGCGCGTATAGGCGTCAACATGAGCGGGTCTAGTAGCGCGGCTAGGACGTCTATTGCTAGAGCGTCTATTGCTAGAGCGCGTTTAGCAGTCACCTTGAGAGCGTCTAGTAGCGCAGCTAGGATGTCTTCTGCTAGAGCGCGTTTAGCAGTCACCTTGAGCGCGTCTAGTAGCGCGGCTAAGATGTCTTCTGCTAGAGCGCGTTTAGCAGTCACCTTGGGCGCGTCTAGTAGCACGGCTATAGTGTCTTCTGCCAGAGCGCGTTTAGCAGTCACCTTGAGCGCGTCTAGTAGCGCGGCTAGAGTGTCTTCTGTCAGAGCGCGTATAGGCGTCAACACGAGCAGGTCTAGTAGCTCGACTAGTGCGTTGTCTGATCTAGTCGACTGATTGAGATGCTCGTTTAGCATACATCTTTTCATCTTCTCCTAACCGTTTTCCGGTTTAGTTTCAACCGCTTCTCGATTTAGCTCCGGTTGAATTTCGGTTCGAGTAACCGGTTTTAGGGGTTAACCGGACCTAATTAGGTGAGAAATCAAAAGATTTCGAATAATCTTGTGGGTTTCTGCGGTTGATGGGCTCATTTAGGCCCGTTTAAACGCATTAATTGCACTTGGAGAATCGTGCCTTAGGATTTTGCTATAAATAGGTAGATGCTCTTCTCTTTCATTATTCTTCTCTACAAGTCCAGGTACTTTCTTCTCTCCCTTCTCTCTACTTTTTCTCCAATTTTTCGTCTCGGGTTCCTCCATTTGCGTGGTTTAATCGACTGAGTTGGAGCTATGACTTCGTCGGGAAGGTTTTCGCGTAAGGAGAGAGGCAAAGGAATTGCCCTCGCGACGGGCCAGACCGATGATGTCACGGAAAACGGGAGTCCGATAGAGGATTTTAGCTTGATTCACCGTGATGCGCTGCGGGGTGAGCGATTCGAGCCGCGTAGCGTATCGGACGACCAAGACGTCAAAGAGGAGAGTCAAGAGGGCGATTCGCGTCGTTCGGGGAGCGGGTCCGGGAGAGAGGAAGTCGAGGGCTCCGACTCTGATCAGGACGGTGATGACTAGTATCTCCGGATCAGAGCCCTCAAACCTTATGGTTAAGACATCGAATCGCCAGGTTCGATTTGATCGAGTGCAGGCCGACCGTTCATCATCTCGATGGCACCTTTGAGGAGTTAAATGCTCTTTCCCCAGAATTTCTGCGAGATCCTTGGGCCGAGGGTCAACGTTGGGAGAATGTTTTCGGGACCCGATCTACTCATGGATCTGTGAGGGGCGTGCTGGAGTGTGCACGTGATTCTTTCCCCGGAGCAGAGACCTTGGTCTCCTTCGGATTCCAGTGTCTATATGAGTCGTACTTTGAGGATGATTCGAAGCTCTGGTTCCCAATTCCGCGCTTGATCTCCGCATATGTTAGAAGGCGGGGAGTAGCGATCAGCCAACTAAAGATTGGCTCGATTCGGAATGCCATCATGCTGATGGTGATGGCCGCGGAGATAGATGTTCCTATGAGTGTGAGAGAATTCGAAGAATTGACTTCTACGAAGGCGGAAAAGGGGGGCTTGTTTTCGGTGAAGATGCGTTCAAGCTATAATGTCTTGACTGGTCATCCTCGTAAGACAACGAACTGGCAGTGTTCGTACTTTTATGTAAAAGCTGATAAGTACGCATTTGCAGAAGCCATTGAAGACGACTTTCCGGTTTTATGGAACAACGAAATTGGTAGAAAATGAGCGTCGTGGTGTCTACTACCTTCGTCGGTTGCCTAACCTTGCTTTTTATCTTTTGCAGGTCGTCATCCAAACACAATCGCGTATCCAGAGAAGTTCTTCGAGATCGCGCAGGCTATTGCGACTCAAAGCCATCTGAGTTGGCCGGATCTGAGTCGGGAGTGGATTCGCCGACAACAGGCACGCATAGCGAGAGGTAATCCTCCTTTCTTGATCTTGGTCCTGCCTGATATACTAACGGTTCCTTTCTCCTTTTGCTTTTAGCAGTTGATCGGGAATCGAGACAGCCGCTAGTTATCTCAGCGCGTAAATCTCGCTTATCGTTATTTACCCGGAAACAACAGAAACTACTTAGGCAGGCGAGAGAGATGTCGGCGAGACCAGACTTAAGTGCTATACTTAAGGGAAAGCTCCAACTGCTGAAGAAGTCGACTACCGGGGTTGCGTCAGCTGGGGATAAAGACGCTGAAGCTTCTT